CAGAATATTTTTGTAATTTAGAAACTTTATGTGAACAAAACTATAGTTAAAATTGAAAAAGATGGTGGTGAATTTTTAACAAGTCAAGATGGTATTCTTGCAGTAACAATGAATTTTTACATACAGCTATATGCTGATCGTGACCACTCTGATAACATAGAAAATGTTAATCTAAATAATTTGTTAAATGGTCTAGAGTATGTTAGATTAACTGATGATCAACGTTCAAACCTTGAAGGAGAATTAACAGAAACAGAACTACGTTTTGCTTTAAAAAACATGAAAAACTTTAAATTACCTTGTTCTGATGGCTATACAAGTTTGTTTTTTAAATTCTTTTGGGTAAATTTGATTTTTTTTATTGTTAGATCTGTGAACCTTGGGTAAAATAAGGGTGAATTATCAATTACACAAAGACAGAGAATTATAACTTGTATTCCAAAAGGTGATAAACTTAGACATTTTATGAAAAACCGGAGACCAATTACTAAATGTTGTATATAAACTAGCATTAGCTTGTATAGCCAACAGACTTAAATCAGTTCTAGACCATATTAATTTCGAGATTCAAAAAGGTCTTTTAAGTGGTAGATGTATTGGTGAAAACACCAGACTAATTTATGATATTATGAATTATACTGAATTAAACAATATACATGGACTTCTAATATTCATTGATTTTGAAAAAGCTTTTAATTCGGTTTCATGGATTTTTTTTATACAAGGTAACTGATCTTTTTTAATTTTGGTGAAAGCATTAAGAAATGTATCAAAACTTTATACAAAAATACTTTTTCTGCAATAACACAAAATTGTATACTGTCTGATTTTTTTGAGATACAAAGAGGATGTCGACAAGGTGAACCAGTCTCCCCGTATCTGTTCTTACTAGTAGCTGAAATATTAGCAATTTTGGTCAAAAACAATAAAAATATCAAAGGTATACAAATAAAACATAAGGATTATTAACTCTTACAGTTTGCAGATTACCTCAATAATTTTAGATCGATCTAGAAACTCATCCAATGAAGCTTTAAATACTTCAGATTGTTTTGGTCTAAAAGTTAATAATGATTTAACAAAAGTTATTTGGATTGGCAGCAAGAAATTCAGCGAAGATGTCTACCATCAAAGATGGAAATTAAAATGGGTGGAAACAAAATTTGATTTGCTAGGTATTCATTTTTCAGTTAACTTAGAAGAGATTATAAGCTTGAATTATGTGAAAGCCCTAAAAAATGTAAATAACAGTATAACCAAATGGTCACGTAGGATTTTAACCCCTATTGGTCGTATTGTAGTATTGAAATCAATAATTATACCAAAACTGAATCATCTGTTCATTGCAATTCCTACACTAACCAGCACTTTTATTCAGCAGCTAAACACAACATTTTTTAACTTCATTTGGCAATCTCCTGTCGACAAAACTAAACGAAATACTTTAATCCAAAAGTATAAAAGTGGAGGCCTTACAATGATTAACATCAATAATTTCCTTTCTAGTTTGAAGTCCACTTGGATACGAAGATTACTGAAAAACTAGAACACTGACAGGTCAGTAAGGGCCCCGTCTTGTGGCAATATATCCCCCATAATCATCAAGAAGCGATCTGCCCATATAGCTGAGCTTGACGTTTGACATTTGGACTTCTAAAAGAATCGCAAGGAAGCAAAATATACATTTTACATGTACTTTGATGTGAGTCTAGTTTCCTTCCATCTCCATATTTGCTGGGCTAACAGAAATGTAAATACCAGTGCAATACTAATTCGTTAGTTTTGATTTGTTTTATTTCACCTTATATACCTCCTACATCAAGAGCAAGGGTCAAAGTAAGGGATCCACTTTGTCTTTGACCTTTGGACCCAAATGACCTTGACCAATAAAACCAGTGACCCTGATCTTTGGTCAGTTGACTTCTTTAATTCAGACCAACTTTACTTCTTAATATCATAACAAAATGTTCATCAGTGAAAAATACAAAACTTGACCTTGACCCTGGACCCCGTGACCTGGACCTAAGGTCAGTTGACTTTGTGTTTAGTTCTGAACAACATTGCTTCATAATGTCATAACAAAATGTTCATCAGGGAAAAGGTACAAAATTTAACTTTAACCTTTGATCCAGTGACCTTGACCTTTGGTCAGTTGACCCCTTGGTTAAATCTGAGAAACATTGCTTCAAAGTGTCATAGCGAAATGTTCACCAGTGAAAAGATACAAAATTTAACCTTGACCTTTGACCCAATGACCTTGACCTTTGGTCAATCGACTCCTTGTTTAATTCTGATCAAATTTGCTTTATCATGTCTTTACAAAATAATCATCAGTGAAAAGATGCAAAATTTGATCTTGACCTTTGAATCCAATGACCTTGACCTTTGACCTTGACTTTTTACCTCAGTGTGTCTCTTTGTTTAATTCCGTACAACTTTGTTAATAATGTCATAGCAAAATGTTCACCAGCGAAAACTACAAAATTTGACCTTGACCCCTGACCCGATGACCTCGACCTTAGGTCAGTTGACTCCTTGTTTAATTCTAATCAACTGTGCTTCATAATGTCATAACAAAATGTTCATCAGTGAAAAGATGTAAAATTTGACCTTGACCTTTGAACATTATGACCTTGACCTTGACTTTTTACCTCAATGTGTATTTTTGTGAACTGAACATCTTGACCAAGTTTCATGTATATCAGTCCATATATACCAATGTTATCAGCCAGGAACAAAATTTGTGGACGGACAGACAGAGAGACAGACAGAGTGATTTCTATAGAGCACCCGTATCTCCGATACGGGGCCCTAATAATGGTAAAAGCTGGATACATATGTTTGAAACAGAGCACTTTCCAGGAGAAACTATATCAGATATGGGAATTGACTTTATAAAAAAAATAAGACTAGTAATATGTTTTGGAAGGATGTTTTTAAGGCATGGGTTAATGTTTCAGAAGTAACACAAGTAAAATATATCAAGCAGTTCTCAACTCTCCCTATCTGGTATAACCCACTTTTTGGTATTGGCAAAAAGTCTTTTTTTGTCCGAAAATGGTTTGATCGGGGTGTTTAAAATGTTTGTGATCTATTAGAGCAAAATAACGTTTTTTTAACTTTTGTAAATTTTAAACTGAAATGCAATATAAACTCTGGAAACTTCTTGATTTATCATAGTATATGCCAGTCTATTAGATTATAAATTATAACTTAACTGCAGAAACAACTTTGGAGAGGCCCTTCATACCAAGTACTATTTATATTATTGTAAAGAAAAAATAGGTTGTAAAGACATATATGACATATTAAATGGAAAAATTAAATTAGTAAATACAGCTGAAAGAAAATGGGTATTGAAAGAAAATTTAAATACTATTGGGATGTCAAATGCAATATCTGTAATATGTGTAAAATACAAACAGAAACTACAGAACATCTATTCTGGGAATGTCCACAGTCCTTAAATCTATGGCAAGATTTAAAAGAGAGATTATTTAGCAGAATAAGGAAAATCATTCACTTTAAGTTGGAAACAATACTTTTTGGAATTACTGAAAATGCTCCTATGCCCATTAACTATATATTTTTGTATACAAAATATTATATATATACTGTTTCCAGAAAACCCCAGAAGATAAGTTTAAATGGTTGGAATTAGTTTCTTGCATTCAGATACAATATTGAGAAAGCTTTATCAGTAAGAAATGTATACAATGAAATATTTGATCAAAGATGGATGGAATGGAAGGATTTATTTTGAGAATTTTTTGTATACTACAATTTTTCTTTTTGTTGATTGATAATTTTCTCTTCAAAAACAAACACAATACGGGTTAGTAGAGTGCATGAACATTATATGTATTTTCTGGTGCTTATATTGATACATGCAATATTAGGCATGCATGTTTGTATTTACATGCATGTGTACGTATGTAAGTGCATGCATACTTGCTGATGTTAGTGTGTATGTACGTGCATATGTATGCATGTATGTATGTACGTATGTAGATCGTAGGAGTGTATGTTATGTACGTACGGATATGTGTATGCATATGTATGTGTATAAGTGTTTTGTTTATGTTTTGGTGATTATGATACTGTTGTACATGTAAACACGTCTTGATGTGTGTGCTGTGTGTGAAATGTGGTAGTAAGTTCTTGTTCTGTATATGCCAAATACTCCATGTACAAAATTTCCCAATCAAATTTCTGAATGTTATATTGATGAAAAAATGTTATGAAATTGAAATAATTGAATTTAGATAAAATTAGCAGAGAAAAATGAATGAGAGCCCTCCTGTGTGAGGACACCATATTGTTTAAGGGACTGACTCCAGTGCTCCCCAACCCTGGCAGTTCCTATCATTTTATTCATATATACATGTATCTGTATATACCTATCAGTATTATATATATATATAATATTTGGCTGGGAGAAATAAGATATTTAGAAAAAAAGAGAAAAAAAGGCAGAAATATGTTTCGCTGACCGGAAGTTTGAATATCTCTGTCTAATGGGGGAGAAAATGATAGCACACAACGGGGAAAGTTTGGATACACCTTTACAGGGTGAGACACACCTATTTTTTAATACGGAACAATCATGCGATATGTTTCCCACGTTCAGCGACATTTCATCATCTGATGACATCACAATGGAAAGCTTGTCAAAACGTCGTTAGATTGACTGTGACAATCTTGCAAAAGGCAAGCGACACATTCTCAGGAACATGAGAGTTATTACTAAAGCTAACATTTATTGTCTTGCATTAATCGTTAAATTTGAGATGCATGTATGCCATACTTGTTCTTTTGGCTTATGGGTTGGAGAAAAAGACTAAATCCTTATGCAGGTTTGAGGGGTTTGGAAACTTTTACATATGATGTAGAATTTGGTCAAGAACTCTATTAGTAATGAATATACAAGTAACACTAATGCAAATGATAAAAATAGATTTTACGATTTTTTTTATATTTTGATCCAATATCTGACTTACCAATTTTGATTAAATCTGTGTGCAGTACAGCAGTGTCATTCTCCTCCACGTCAAAGCTTGTTTCATAGTACATGTAACCGTCTCCTTGTATAGCACCATTGGGACCAGTGTCTACTGATGGTGTTTCATCCTAAAATACAAAAGCAATATTGCATAATTGGATTTTTTACATTTTTGCCAGTGAAATATAGAAATTTATCAACTTGATGTAATTGATATCTTTCACACAGTGACAAATATCAAAAGTGATATTTTCACAGTGCGAAAATATCACTTTTTGGTATTGACCATCATAACAATATCTTCTATTTGCTGCATTCAAAGTTAACATTTTTTGTTCAGATTCAAATGAAGCGACGGTAGAATAAGTGGTTGTTATCGTAAATGTTTGGTACGCACACTTAAGTATTTACATAAATAAACAATTAATAACATTTTTATAAGCAATCGTGCAAGAAAATAGCAGAAAAAGTCGGAATTGCGTTGAGTATCCCATTCAAAATGGCGCTCAGCCTTGTTGTCAAGCATGACGTCATTATAATATGGCGCTAATTATTACGTTTCTGATTCCTGCCCTTTTTAATGCTTTACATTTTTGATTTTTTATGCTTTAAAAATGTAATAAATGTCAAATTTAATGATGTCTTCAGTAATAACAAAATATACACACGATCCACACATCTATTGATACAATAGGATGGCCACCTAGACAAAATGGTACAACATTGGTACAATTACGCAACATGTCCTCCAGAGTGTGGAATCTACTCCATGGATTCAGCCACGTTGACTGGTTCTCAGATACTGGTTCCGGTATGGTTTTAAAATTGGTTAACATAATTAGTGACGTTAGGGCATATTTACATACTCCTGTACTTAAGTCATCATATACATTACAATTTACTGGTGGAAGAAATTTTAACTGTTCGCTCATGTGTCCTATAAAGGAAATGTGGCATTAACCCCATTCTAGCATCAAAACGTTACCAGCTCACTTGTTACCTACACTACTTTCTGGACAATCTGATACCCAGACAGGAAGTCAGGGTGGATGTGATGCCTTAGGGACCCACCCAGCTTCTCCGAGTGACATGGATCTAAGTGTTTATGCTAGGAATTTAAAAATTATATAACACAGTAGTTTAAACGCATTTGTGAGAATTAATGTGGAACTCTTTTTTGGGTCTGTGTAAGGGTGAGGTAGCATTCATCATTAAGCTAATACATGACAATTATTGATCAATCATTCCCGCCTTAATTATTTTACCTGATGCCTCGTCCAAAACCAATCATCATTATCACTTTGATTAAACGGACAATTGGTCTCATCTTCCATTTCAAACAGGCACTCAAAGATACCTGGAAAAGAAACAAAGTTATTTCTTTTACATGTATCATACGTATGTAAATACATAGTAGCATTTGTATAGTTTATGCAGCAAATATTTCTAAGACTTCATAAATAAGCCTCCTTATTTGCTTTTGGATCCCCGTGCAAAAATACTGTTACTTAGTATTGAAAACTGTTTTTTCCGGCATTACTATACAATATTGCTTTGATAAATCATGCCTGAAAAGAAAACCATACCTTGCCGGACATTTATCGACATTTATCGTAAGCAATTTATCCTGACCTTTTGTAAACATCTTCAGTAGACAGTTATTGCATGGCTAAACTCTTCATTGCTAACATTTCGGGATATCTCTATAGGACACATTTATGGTATGGGTAAACCCTTATTGCTAACCTTTCGGGATACCTCTATAGGACACATTTATGGTATGGCTAAACCCTTTATTATTAACCTTTCGGGATACCTCTATAGGGCACATGTATGGCATGGCTAAACCCTTTATTGCTAACCTTTCGCGATACCACTATAGGACACATTTATGGCATGGCTAAACCCTTTATTGTTAACCTTTCGGGATATCTCTATAGGACACATGTATGGCATGGGTAAACCCTTTATTGCTAACCTTTCGGGATATCTCTATAGGACACATTTATGGCATGGGTAAATCCTTTATTGCTAACCTCTCGGGATACCTCTATAGGACACATTTATGGTATGGCTAAACCCTTTATTGCTAACCTTTCAGGATATCTCTATAGGACACATTTATGGCATGGGTAAACGCTTTATTGCTAACCTTTCGGGATATCTCTATAGGACACATTTATGGTATGGGTAAACCCTTATTGCTATCCTTTCGGGATACCTCTATAGGACACATTTATGGTATCGCTAAACCCTTTATTGTTAACCTTTCGGGATACCTCTATAGGGCGCATGTATGGCATGGCTAAACCCTTTATTGCTAACCGTTCGCGATACCACTATAGGACACATTTATGGCATGTCTTAACCCTTTATTGTTAACCTTTCGGGATATCTCTATAAGGCACATGTATGGCATGGCTAAACCCGTTATTGTTAACCTTTCGGGATATCTCTATAGGACACATTTATGGTATGGCTAAACCCTTTATTGCTAACCTTTCAGGATATCTCTATAGGACACATTTATGGCATGGGTAAACGCTTTATTGCTAACCTTTCGGGATACCTCTATAGCACACATTTATGGTATGGCTAAACCCTTTATTGTTAACCTTTCGGGATGTCTCTATAGGACACATTTATGGCATGGGTAAATCCTTTATTGCTAACCTCTCGGGATACCTCTATAGGACACATTTATGGTATGGCTAAACCCTTTATTGTTAACCTTTCGGGATATCTCTATAGGACACATTTATGGCATGGGTAAACCCTTTATTGTTTACCTTTCGGGATACCTCTATAGGACACATGTATAGCGTAGCTAAGTCATGTATTGCTAACGTTTCGGGATACCTTTCAAAGACATATTTTATTGCATGGCTAGACCCTTTATTGTTCCCCCAGAAATACTTATTCGAAATACAATGAAAATTTGTTTATTCCACATCCTATTACAAGTCACGACCAATATCTGCAGTTCGTTTGTTTATGCGGCATCTGAAATGGACAAGTCGTGCGACTTGTCCACATCATACACACATAATCGAAAGGATCTTTTGACAAATAAGGATTATCTATCTGTTGATTAATTACGATAAGCAAACACGAATCAGCTGGTTGTTTACAATGATCTACAATATCTTTGATTAGGATGATCTACTTATTGTTAAATTTTGATTACCTAATGGATCTCTGAATCTTTTCTGATTATCTAACGGATCTGCCATTTATATACGATTTTACAGCATCCGTTAAATATTCAGGATAACTTAATGGATCTGCTATTATTGATGATCTTAAATAATTCGTTTATGATGATCCATGGGATATATATGTATTATTTATGATTATTTAGGGGTTATATTTGTAAACTTTCGGTTATCTACATCATGTGCTGATTATGAACAATTATCTACATGATGCGTTAACTATTAATATTGATCTTAAATTTTTATAAAGATTTACAATCATTTGATTATGATGATCAAATGGTTTTCATTATATATCTAAAGAATCTGTTTCGATTACATGTATCTATTTTATTTATTAATGTACCTTATTGCAGACTTTTATATATTTACTTATGATTACCTTCATGTAGGAACGTTCAATTACTTCATACAAAATACCGTCTGTAAGATACTTCACGAATCTTTAATTAGGCATAGTAATCTTAAAATCTGTGAATTGCTTATAGTAATCTGCTGGAATGATTAAAGAATCTTTAAACATGTACAGTAATCTGATATTTAATTGTGTACAGTGATCTACTAGAATGCTAAAAGAATATTCAATTATGTACAGTGATCTACTAGAATGCTAAAAGAATATTCAATTGTGTACAGTGATCTACTAGAATGCTTAAAGAATATTTAATTATGTACAGTGATCTACTAGAATGCTAAAAGAATATTCAATTATGTATAGTGATCTACTAGAATGCTTAAATAATACTTAATTGTGTACAGTGATCAACTAGAATGCTTAAATAATATGTAATTGTGTACAGTGATCGACTAGAATGCTAAAAGAATATTCAATTATGTATAGTGATCTACTAGAATGCTTAAATAATACTTAATTGTGTACAGTGATCTACTAGAATGCTAAAATAAGATTCAATTATGTACAGTGATCTACTAGAATGCTAAAAGAATATTCAATTGTGTACAGTGATCTACTAGAATGCTAAAAGAATCTTTAATTGTGTAGAGTGATCTACTAGAATGCTTAAAGAATATTTAATTATGAACAATGATCTACTAGAATGCTTAAATGATATGTAATTATGTACAGTGATCTGCTAGAATGCTTAAAGAATATTTAATTGTGTACAATGATCTACTAGAATGCTCAAAGATACTTTAATTGTGTAGAGTGATCTACTGAATGCTAAAAGAATATTTAATTGTGTACAGTGATCTACTAGAATGCTAAAAGAATATTTAATTATGTACAGTGATTTACTAGAATGCTAAAAGAATATTTAATTGTGTACAGTGATCTGCTAGAATGCTTAAAGAATATTAAATTATGTACAGTGATCTACTAGAATGCTTGAATGATATGTAATTATGTACAGTGATCTGCTAGAATGCTTAAAGAATATTTAATTGTGTACAATGATCTACTAGAATGCTTAAATAATATGTAATTATGTACAGTGATCTACTAGAATGCTTAAGAATATTTAATTATGTAGAGTGATCTACTAGAATGCTTAAATAATACTTAATTGTGTACAGTGATCTACTAGAATGCTAAAATAAGATTCAATTATGTACAGTGATCTACTAGAATGCTTAAAGAATATTTATGTATGTACAGTGAGCTACTAGAATGCCTAAAGAATATTTAATTGTGTACAGCGATCTACTAGAATGCCTAAAGAATATTTAATTGTGTACAGTGATCTACTAGAATGCTAAAAGAATATTCAATTGTGTACAGTGATCTACTAGAATGCTCAAAGAATCTTTAATTGTGTAGAGTGATCTACTAGAATGCTTAAAGAATATTTGATTATGGACAGTGATCTACTAGAATGATTATAGAATATTTAATTCTGTACAGTGATCTACTAGAATGCTTAAATAATATGTAATTATGTACAGGGATCTACTAGAATGCTTAAATAATACTTAATTGTGTACAATGATCTACTAGAATGCTCAAAGATACTTTAATTGTGTAGAGTGATCTACTGAATGCTAAAAGAATATTTAATTGTGTACAGTGATCTGCTAGAATGCTTAAATAATATTTAATTATGTACAGTGATCCGCTAGAATGCTTAAAGAATATTTGATTATGTACAGTGATCTACTAGAATGATTACAGAATATTTAATTATGTACAGTGATCTGCTAGAATGCTAAAAGAATATTAAATTATCTACAGTGATCTACTAGAATGCTTAAAGAATATTTAATTATGAACAATGATCTACTAGAATGCTTAAATGATATGTAATTATGTACAGTGATCTGCTAGAATGCTAAAAGAATATTAAATTATCTACAGTGATCTACTAGAATGCTTAAAGGATATTTAATTATGTACAGTGATCCGCTAGAATGCTTAAAGAATATTTGATTATGTACAGTGATCTACTAGAATGATTATAGAATATTTAATTCTGTACAGTGATCTACTAGAATGCTTAAGAATATTTAATTATGTACAGTGATCTGCTAGAATGCTTAAAGAATATTTAATTGTGTACAATGATCTACTAGAATGCTTAAATAATATGTAATTATGTACAGGGATCTACTAGAATGCTTAAATAATACTTAATTGTGTACAGTGATCAACTAGAATGCTTAAATAATATGTAATTGTGTACAGTGATCTATTAGAATGCTAAAAGAATATTCAATTATGTACAGTGATCTACTAGAATGCTTAAAGGATATTTAATTATGTACAGTGATCCGCTAGAATGCTTAAAGAATATTTGATTATGTACAGTGATCTACTAGAATGATTATAGAATATTTAATTCTGTACAGTGATCTACTAGAATGCTTAAAGGATATTTAATTATGTACAGTGATCCGCTAGAATGCTTAAAGAATATTTGATTATGTACAGTGATCTACTAGAATGATTATAGAATATTTAATTCTGTACAGTGATCTACTAGAATGCTTAAATAATACTTAATTGTGTACAGTGATCAACTAGAATGCTTAAATAATATGTAATTGTGTACAGTGATCTACTAGAATGCTAAAAGAATATTCAATAATGTACAGTGATCTACTAGAATGCTAAAATAAGATTCAATTATGTACAGTGATCTACTAGAATGCTAAAAGAATATTTAATTATGTACAGTGATCTGCTAGAATGCTAAAAGAATATTAAATTATGTACAGTGATCTACTAGAATGCTTGAATGATATGTAATTATGTACAGTGATCTGCTAGAATGCTAAAAGAATATTAAATTATCTACAGTGATCTACTAGAATGCTTAAAGGATATTTAATTATGTACAGTGATCCGCTAGAATGCTTAAAGAATATTTGATTATGTACAGTGATCTACTAGAATGATTACAGAATATTTAATTATGTACAGTGATCTGCTAGAATGCTAAAAGAATATTAAATTATCTACAGTGATCTACTAGAATGCTTAAAGAATATTTGATTATGGACAGTGATCTACTAGAATGATTATAGAATATTTAATTATGTACAGTGATCTGCTAGAATGCTAAAAGAATATTAAATTATGTACAGTGATCTACTAGAATGCTTAAAGGATATTTAATTATGTACAGTGATCCGCTAGAATGCTTAAAGAATATTTGATTATGTACAGTGATCTACTAGAATGATTATAGAATATTTAATTATGTACAGTGATCTGCTAGAATGCTAAAAGAATATTAAATTATGTACAGTGATCTACTAGAATGCTTAAAGAATATTTAATTATGTACAGTGATCTACTAGAATGCTTAAAGAATATTTGATTATGTACAGTGGTCTGCTAGAATGCTTAAATAATATTTAATTATGTACAGTGATCCGCTAGAATGCTTAAAGAATATTTGATTATGTACAGTGGTCTGCTAGAATGCTTAAATAATATTTAATTATGTACAGTGATCCGCTAGAATGCTTAAATAATATCTAATTATGTACAGTGATCTACTAAAATGCTTGAAGAATCTCTCATTGTGTACAGTGATCTACTAGAATGCCGAAAGAATATTGAATCAAATCATGTACAGTGATCTACTAGAATGCTTAAAGAATATTCAATTATGTACAGTGATATACGAGAATGCTTAAAGAAGATTTAATTATGTACAGTGATCTACTAGAATGCTTAAAGAATATTTGATTATGTACAGTGATCTGCTGGGATATTTGAAGAATCTTTAACTGTGTACAGTAATATGCCCAGAATGCTTAAACAACCTGTATATTAGCGACGGTTATCAGCTCGAATACTTTAAGAATATGTCAATTAATTATGGTAATCTGCTGAAATTCTTAAAGAATCTTGTGATTATGAACGGTTGTCAGCTTGAATGCATGAGGAATATGACAATTACTTATAGTAATCTGCTTGAATACTATAATCTGTTGAAATACTGAAGGCATCTGGTGATTATGAACGGTTGTCAGCTTAAATACTTGAAGAATATGACAATAATCTGCTGGAGTACTTTGAGAATGGTTATTAAGGACGGTAATCTACTGGAATACTTTGAGAATGGTTATTAAGGACGATAATCTACTTGAATACTTTGAAGAATATTACAATTATCAAAGGTTATCTGCTGGAATATTTCGATAATCAGATAATTACATACGGTTATTTGCTCAAATGCTTCAAGAATCTGATAACTTTGTACGGTAATCTGCTGGAAAGTTTCTAGAATCTATTGATTACGTACGACCTGTCGTTGGAATAAAGTCATCTATATAAGGTGTCCCATCAGATCCGTCTGGGCAATCCTCCACACCATCCCTCTCCATGTTGTATGGGATACAGAAATCACCAGATTCACATTGGAAGCTAGAATTTTCACACCTCACTGAAAATACAGGTAACCGGCATGGCAGAAGGTGATATGAATTGTTTGAATAATATTGATAAGATTGGTCTTGTGTGACTTAGCTTATAAACAACTGTATTGTAAATTATCTTGTAAATGTGTTTCTCTATACTTCGTATTATAAACAGAATAAACTGAACTGAATTGAATTGAAGGTCACTATATTACAGGAACATTTGCCAGGGTAAATCATTAAAACACATTTAAAAATACCAGTGTAGCTAATGACTAAACTACAGGTGAAAATACAAGAGAAGCTGATCGGTTTAACTACACGGGTAACTGATTACTAAAATACAGGGGGAAAAACTACAGAAGAAGGTCACCGAAACAACAAAATAACACGGTAAGTTCATTGAAAAAGTAGGTCACTTGTAGGTCACTTGTAGGTCACTTTAAGGTAAACAGCACGGGAAGCTGATCACAAAAGTTCTGCAAATACCAAACAAGTAAAAGGTCAGTGAAAATACAGGTGAATATGTGTAGGAGGTAATTGAAAATACTGGTAAAACTACAAGGGTTGTTGATTTAGTGAAAATCAGGTGGGGTATAGATAAAGGCAAGTTGTGATACAAAAGAATTCATTAAAACTCATGAAAATTCAAATATTTGTTAAGAATCAGGGTTCCCAATCAGTTCCTGAAACTGACGCCATTAAACCGTTCCTGTTTTATAGTTCATGAGGATAAAGATGACCCGCATCTCTGAAAATATGGACTGAATGTTTGTTAATGTTTTTTCTGGCTGACAACGAAATGAGGACAACATATAGCAGCTTTGTTTGAATGCAATTGATTTTCTATCACTATACCATGGTGATCTGAATAGAAAGTCATAATATACAACGTATATGTATTTGTGTTTAGAAATTTGTTTTAGTGATATTAAATATAACCTACAGAATTTGCTTGTTATATGAAAAACTATCTTCAAGACCACCCTGGGAAATGGGTACAAAATCAAAAGATTAATTTTAAGTTAATGCTGGAAAAATATAAATGAATTTCAATTTAAACACAAATGTACAAGCTTTGATAGCAGCATGTATAAAGAGATCATCATAATAAATTAACCGCATGCACAACTGTATGTGTATGAAGCTTGCATACAAGTTATGTACATATATTAAAAAAATATCAAATAGTTAATCATGCGATTTCAAAATTTCCCAATCAGTAAAAAAAATAAAAGGACATGATATTTTTTTTTTTTTTATTCCATTTCGTTAATGTAAGGTTGATATTTTTCATCAATAGGTCGGGGTTGGCCGCATTGAGTCTAGGTTGAGTGTGCAAGAGTTACCTTACCACATCCTTACTCAAGCGGCCAGGATGCAGTTTTGTCCCACTCCTTCAATAGTCACAGAAGCCTTACTATTTGGTATTAGACGTACAGGTAATTCAGACAAGTGTGATATGTCAGATTTTGTATACATATTTTTACGTCTTTTTTTGTAACAAACAGTCAATTTCAAATAGTGATCCGGTATACATGGTTGTTATTTGATATGTAAAGCTTGTGGTATATCTGGTAGAACCGCACATCGTAATTATGGTTTATAAACCTGATTTCATAGATATGAAAAGATTAAGATTTTCTATCGCAAGAACTCATCGGTTACTGCCTACATTTCATAAGTAAATTTCAATCTCTTTGCAAAGATGAATATATAAATATCTAAAAATTAAATTGGAATGGAACCAAATCAACTCTTCACTCATTTCTATCACAGACTCGTCACAAAACTGGGCTAACATCAATCAAATGATGGGTAAGGGTCTTTTGTTCTGCCAATCAATTCCAAACAAACACAACAAACACAATAATCAGAAGTACTCACCTATTTTATCACACGTTTCGTTCCTGTACATTACATCATCGATGGCTAGGCTTCCAGGATAAATGATCACCAGGTCACCAGTGAATTGAAATCGAATGCTTACATTCCTTTCATATCCTGTCGGCAATGGGAATTGGGCGAATATCCATTCATCTCGCCTGATCATTTCGCCATTGTCAATCATGACCAGTGATTCTGTATTATTCTCAGAAATGAAGACATGCAATTCAGCAGTAATGCCTTCCTCCATGTTGTAATAAAATGACACACAGCCGCCACTGACAAACTGGTTTGGGGAATCAAGGCTGTACGTGACCTTATCATTTTTCTCAATATATATGTAGTGTCCTGCGTAAAGAAAATGAGCATACTGAAAAGATATTTATTAGCACTTATGTATTACTACATAAAGTTGAAAAGCTGTATGGAGTCTTATCTTTCTAAAGCAAGTCATTTGAGCTATACCTCCCTGAGAATACAGGTAAAATTTCATGTGGAATTTAAAGTTTCTCTTCTCTTTGAGAATTCAGATGACAATGTGTAAGGGTCCAATTACTGAAAAAACTGACAAAAACCAATGGGGTACCATCTCACTGCAATTTCATGAAAAGTATTTGATCCTGAGAGTATTAGGTTTGAAGAAGGTTGATGAATTTGCAGCTGCTTTGACCTATTAAGCCTTACCTACGGACATAGGGGTTGGTTGTGGTTAGTGTCTTCATTTGTCATGCATCAAAACCGCCATACTGTGATGTAAACCTGACCGAGTTTGAATTTTTTTCTTCTGAAATTTGTCCATCAGACCACATTTCGTTATTTTTTATATAAATTAATATTTAACTTTACTCAACCCCAAACAGGGAATTAGTGAACCAAGTAGGTATGGGGCTTTTAAACCTTAAAGCATATGTGAGTTCTAAGGTTCAGTTACCAGGTATGATCTTAATTCATCACCTCAATTTGTGCCGGAGATGTACATGTAGGTAAGTCCTAACTTCATCACCTCCAGTTTTTACCTGAAATGTGGGCATGTCCTTACTTCATCATCTACATTTCTATTTGAGATGTAGGTATATCCTTCCTTCATCACATACATTTTCACCTGAGTGTTTAATTTGGCTCTGTGTTATCCTCATTCTATTACCTGAAAGATTCTGATGATGTTGGTAGGTATGGTCCGCATTCGGTAAATGGAATCTATGAGCCGCGCGCCACTGCCACGGAATATCATGTGTATATCCGCAAATAAATGGATGCTCAAAATTACAGCTGATGGAAGTTTCTGCAAGTCAAACAACGAGTAATTGTTTATATTGTTAAAAGACCATAAAGTTAATTGAGAATGCAATCATTTTGCTCAAGTTTAGACTTTTATCAGATGATTTTTCAATGTCATGTACCTTTTATTTAACAGTGTTCATTAGAAAGCTTAGTAAAGTGGGACAAATGCATCTGAAATGCAAAGATATTCTCAAATTCTCATATTCTCATATTTTAGAAGCCAAGTGTCGATACTGATATTTTTCAGGCGTTATAAATGTGTAGATGGTGTACATGTAAAAGATGCCTAGTGCTTGCCTGTTTTTCTTTAGAAGCAATATGTCAAATCTACCAAAATATCAAGGAAAATTTAGCAGTATTGCTATACTGATATTGAAAGCATCACAAAACGTTAACCTGGTGATGAGGATGAAAATGTTAACTTAAAGAAATTGAAAAATGAAAAATGGCTGCATCGCATCTATGAAAGATTGGTTTGGTTTTATTTTGTTTAACGTCCTATAAACAGCTAAGGTCATTTCAAGACGTGCCTCCATGTGTGCTAGTTTGTCAGCGTGCAGGTGTGTGTGTTCCTTAGACAGAGTATGTTGGTGTATTTGCCTGCTTGTGATAGAGCGGATCTGATGCCGACTTTATAGTGCTGTCTCACTGAAATACCATACCGAAGGCACCCAGCACACCACTCCCCCCGGTCACATTATATTAACAACGGGTGAACTAGTTGTTGCCATTACCCTAAATACTGAACGTTAAGCAGGGAATAACAACTACCATTTTAATGACTTTTGTTTGTTCGGATCTGGGGACAGAACCCATTGCCTTCCTGTCTTGGGCGAACGCTCAACATTAAAGTCAAAAGAGAGGTGTTGCCAAGCAAGGTGCTAGAAAATAAAAGGATGTAGGAAGTAGAAAGAAATATAAAGATCCCAAATATTGAAATGGGTGCAGCAGATTTATTTAGTAGAGGGCACAAAAGCAAATCCCCAATCCGCAGGGGGTCCCAACATTAGTCGCCTCTTACGATACATGCAGTAGGTAAGAGCAGGTGTATTCTATTATCGATCCCCGACCTGCAGGGGTGATCTATGAAAGATCCCCGAAGGACCATGTAAAATATAAGCACGCTAGCACACACATCCAATCAATGGAAAGCATTCACACAAATGACTCTCGATTTATATCATATCTTTTGTCTCGTAAGAAGGCCAATCAGGACTTTGATAAAGACAACAGTCATACAATTATCTCTGGATATTAGTAAGAAATTACCGCACACTATATAAGTGAGAAATTGACATGACATATTGGCTCACCACATAACTCATCAGAACCGTCACTGCAGTCAGTCTTCCCGTCACACATCCCTAACTTAGGGATACATTTATAGTCGACCTCACAGTAGTGACCAGCTCCACAATCTGAAAATCGCGTCAATTATATCGTAAGTAAGCACATGCTAAGACAACGTTTTTTATTTTACAATTTGATAGGTATTTTTCAAAAATATTTATCATTTCTCATAAAATTGTGACACACTTCCAGACAAACATAAACATTGATTTGTATAAAGGTTTGCTCCCTTAAACATGCATTTAGTATTACAGGATATTTCAATGAATCTTGTTAACATTTATGATGGTATTTCAATTAACTTTCTGTCAAACACGATTTATAGCATATTTGAATAAAGCTATGTTTAATGCCGTCAAAAATATTAAAGAAATACATTTTATTCATAACATCATTAGTATTACTTTCCTAACAGCATTGTGAGTTGGTACATGTGTGTGATTTAGAAGCAGTATCATATAATGGATTTGCAATATTTATTATGTTTACCAGGTATACATATATATGCTTATTTCTTAAATACATTCAAAATATGCTCATCGTTGTTTTTTTCTACTTATTTTCAATAAGTCTGTTAACATTTCTACAATAATAAGGGAAACTAAGGATTTGTTTGTATCACAATTGGGAAGATATTTCTTAATTTGTCTTCCTTATTGGAAAAAAAATCACGAGTTGCTGGGGAAAGCAAACTGTATTCGAATATAAAACATGGCAAAGTAATCCAAAGGCTGAGCATTAGTTAGAACATGACTTCTTAGCTGTGGAAAACTTTTTGAAAAATTATGGAACATACAATTTATAAACTGAAGACAAACTGAAAAATATGTGAAAAATATATAAACTAAATTACCAAGATCTTTGGGACACTTCCCTGAAGTTAGGTAGAAACTGTCCAATCCAACGTAGCTGTAGTCTTGACTCGAAGAATCAGTAGTTATCTCGAATTTCACCTCTTGTTTTCCTTCTATTCCAAACGATAACTGCACCTACACGTAAATTTCACGAGACAAATGAATGCACAGTTGCTGTTAATTGATGATTAAATGATATAAACATTATTTATATTAAAACAACAAAATCAAACAGGATAGATACTGTTTATTTCTCACTGCAGAAAGTCATAATGAGGAATGAAACCGGTGTACCCGCAGAAAACCAACGTGTTAGGGAACGGTGAATCGAACCCCGGCCGTCGCGGTTAATGTCGGGTGCGCTATCCACTGAGCCAGCCGACCACCCGAGGTTAATTTTTTTGCCAGCTATTAAATGGTTTTTCATTTTTGACACATGACTTTGAAAGAACATCAATGCTAGTTATATAAACAAAATGTATACGATAATGAAGCTCTGTACTTCATCAAGCTACTGAACATTAAAGCCAATATATTTTATTTGTATTGTATATTTATTTTTAACACATTTGAAAAACTCAATTTGTAGTTATTTAAAGGTGTATACATTAAAACCAGAATAACCGCAGCAGCTCACAAGCCAAATATCATGACTCTTGACAATTATTACCTGGCCTGATCTCCAATCTGATGGTGAGGCAAACGCGCTGTCATTGAACGATCCGCCATTGATTTCGGTCACAAGTAAACTTTCTATATTCCCAAGGTAGGAAAAGTGAAAGCAGGACTGTTCACCAACGCTCATTATTGGAGATTCCATGTCTATCTCAGATGGAATGAATTCACCGTACAAGCCCATGAAGTAGTCTGTAACACAAATTGATAGTAGGTCATGATATCGCTTTTATGGAGTTCTAAAATCAGGATAGTTCTACATGTTTATATTCAGGTTTCTTTTTTACTTCAGTTTACTCAACTGCACATTCTACACATAATAGATTTTTAATGGAATAATTAAGTGATAAAAGGAGTTAAACACTAAAGACAACATGAGTAAAACACCAGTGACGCCTTGAGTCTAATTCTTAGTGATAACACTGTTTTTAAAGCTATATAATTAGTCAAACACTAGTGATACCATAATGTTTATAGAAGGGGCACAGTCAACCCAACCTATTATTATCACGAGCCTTACTCTAGTGACACCAAGTGACTAATTGTTATACATCTTGAGTCACAAATCACAAATTTGAAATAACTTTCAACAACAACATCTTACCTTCATTGATCTCTCTAGTTATTTCGTCATTACCAAAGACGGTTTTTGTTCCAGCCCACATTGTACGTATTCGATTAAGGCCAAAGGCTGAGTCTAATGGTGTCTTGTATCCACACTGATACGGATGAGTGAAATCACACGCCAACGCCCTACCTACAAAACACAAAACATTTCACACTAGATTGTTACACAAGCTAAATAGTCCATATTGTCAAAAATATCAATGCTACAATGTGTCCCCCCTGTATACCTATCACAATATCAATGGAACAATGTTTCCCCCCTGTATACCTATCACAATATCAATGATACAATGTTTCCCCCCTGTATACATATCACAATATCAATGGTACGATGTGTCTCCCTGTATACCTATCACAATATCAATGGTACAATGTGTCTCCTGTATACCTATCACAATATCAATGATACAATGTTTCCCCCCTGTATACATATCACAATATCAATGGTACGATGTGTCTCCCCTGTATACCTATCACAATATCAATGGTACAATGGTTCCCCCCTGTAAACCTATCACACTATCAATGGTACAATGTGTCCCCTGTATACCTATCACAATATCAATGGTACAATGTGTCTCCCTGTATACTTATCACAATATCAATGGTACAATGCGTCTCCTCTGTATACCTATCACAATATCAATGATACAGTGTGTCTCCTCTGTATACCTATCACAATATCAATGCTACAATGTTTCCCCCCTGTATACATATCACAATATCAATGCTACAATGTTTCCCCCTGTATACCTATCACAATATCAATGGTACAATGTGTCTCCCTGTATACCTATCACAATATCAATGATACAATGTGTCTCCTCTGTATACCTATCACAATATCAATGGTACAATGTTTCTCCTTGTATACCTATCACAATATCAATGGTACAATGTGTCTCTCCTGTATACCTGTCACAATATCAATGATACAATGTGTCTCCCTGTATACCTATCACAATATCAATGATACAATGTGTCTCTTCTGTATACCTATCACAATATCAATGATACAATGTGTCTCCCCTGCATACCTATCACAATATCAATGATACAATGTGTCTCCCCTGCATACCTATCACAATATCAATGATACAATGTGTCTCCCCTGTATACCTATCACACTATCAATGGTACAATGTGTCTCCCTGTATACCTATCACAATATCAATGGAACAATGTTTCCCCCCTGTATACCTATCACACTATCAATGGTACAATGTGTCTCCCTGTATACCTATCACAATATCAATGATACAATGTGTCTCCCCTGCATACCTATCACAATATCAATGATACAATGTGTCTCCCCTGTATACTTATCACAATATCAATGGTACAATATGTCCCCCCTGTATACCTATCACAATATCAATGATAAAATGTGTCTCCCCTGTATACCTATCACAATATCAATGGTACAATATGTCCCCCCTGTATACCTATCACAATATCAATGATACAATGTGTCTCCCCTGTATACCTATCACAATATCAATGGTACAATGTGTCTCCTGTATACCTATCACAATATCAATGATACAATGTGTCTCTTCTGTATACCTATCACAATATCAATGATACAATGTGTCTCCCCTGTATACCTATCACAATATCAATAGTACAATGTGTCTCCCATGTATACCTATCACAATATCAATGGTACGGTGTGTCTCCCCTGTATACCTATCACAATATCGATGATACGATGTGTCTCCCCTGTATATCTAGCACAATATCAATGATACAATGTGTCTCTTCTGTATACGTATCACAATATCAATGATACAATGTGTCTTCTCTGTATACCTATCACAATATCAATGCTACGATGTGTCTCCCCTGTATACCTATCACAATATCGATGATACGATGTGTCTCCCCTGTATATCTATCACACTATCAATGATACAATGTGTCTCCCCTGTATACCTCTCACAATATCAATGGTACAATGTGTCTCCTCTGTATACCTATCATAATATCAATGATACAATGTGTCTCTTCTGTATACGTATCACAATATCAATGATACAATGTGTATCCCCTGTATACCTATCACAATATCAATAGTACAATGTGTCTCCCATGTATACCTATCACAATATCAATGGTACGATGTGGCTCCCCTGTATACCTATCACAATATCAATAGTACAATGTGTCTCCCATGTATACCTATCACAATATCAATGGTACAATGTGTCTCCTGTATACCTATCAAAATATCAATGATACAATGTGTCTCCCCTGCATACCTATCACAATATCAATGGTACAATGTTTCTCCTTGTATACCTATCACAATATCAATGGTACAATGTTTCTCCTTGTATACCTATCACAATATCAATGGTACGATGTGTCTCCCCTGTATACCTATCACAATATCAATGATACGATGTGTCTCCCCTGTATATCTATCACAATATCAATGATACAATGTGTCTCCCCTGCATAACTATCACAATATCAATGCTACGATGTGTCTCCCCTGTATACCTATCACAATATCAATGATACAATGTGTCTCCCCTGTATACCTATCACAATATCAATGATACAATGTGTCTCCTCTGTATACCTATCACACTATCAATGGTACGATGTGTCTCCCCTCTATACCTATCACAATATCAATTGTACAATGTGTCTCCCTGTATACCTATCACAATATCAATGCTACGATGTGTCTCCCCTCTATACCTATCACAATAACAATGTGTCTCCCCTGTATACCTATCACAATATCAATGATACAATGTGTTTCCCTGTATACCTGTCACACTATCAATGGTACAATGTGTTCCCCCTGTAAACCTTCATCTAGTGTGTCTGTCCTGTACATCTGCTCTCTCCTCTACATCTATCCAATATATTTACCACAGTCAGTCCCCCCTACCAATTATTTTGTAAACATACCACATCCTGCTTCATCTTCGTCCCCACCACAATCTAAGTACTGGTCACATAGCCATTCTTCTGGTACACACCATTCCGTACAGTTGAATTGATCAGCTTTACAATCTGCAATTACAAAACAAAGTTTTAAAATGGCAATTTGTGGGTGAAAATAGAATATAAAAAATCCAAATGAATACCGAATTGTCATCAAAACACTGATTTGAACTCAAAACCGATACAACTAACAAGGGAAAAAACAAGGTTTGTCATAATTTTGGACAAATTCCATATTCTTACTGGTAAAGTCTCTGCATGATAATCTCTATCGAATGTGATAAATGAGTAAGTGTGTTAGAAACGCTGCTGGTCACAACTATTTGGCTCAATCATTCAGAGGTCAAATGTCAAGGTTGTACAAATGTTAATGCATTCATTCTAGCAAACTGTTTTTACTTCTAGTTGGTCTCAGGTCAAATTTAAGTATTTGAACAAAGTTGATATTCCTTTGCCTTAGGGTAAACATACATGCGGCTTTTTTTTAACTTGAGACTGCTATGCTAAGTTTTCACGAAGATTTTAATACTCAGCAAAGTTAACAGCATATTAGATGGATGAAAATTGATCCATGGACGTCAATGCGATTTGCTGTATTTTGACAATGATAACTGTTTTCTGATACCGATTGCAGTACCATGCACTTGATGCTTTAGATCACAAATTTAATTGTCCTTACTGTGCTTACCTAGTGCAGGACAAGCGCCTTGTGTAATTTTAACCTTATCTATGGCTGCTGAGCTGTGGCTTCTAGCAAACAGAATACGAAGTAAATCATTCTGTTCAAAATTGAATTCAGTCTGGGCATGATTCCAACCAATGTCATGCTTTACATTAATTGAAAGCAGCTGATCCCTGCTACCATTCCTATGTGTGACGTGAACAGAAAGGATAGCCGAAAACCACATCGCTGTATCTGCTTTTACATGGTAGTCAAAGGACAGACAATGCGCTCCTTCTTTTGGAGACAGTATCGGAGGTGACAGTAGTTGAGAGTTAGTATAATCGCCTACTGACGCCATCACGTAACCTGTAAACAGAACAATGTATACCATACTTTATTCTCTCCTTTTATCATTATTTCACTCCGTTTTTATCATTCATTCACTCCATTTTAAGAAGGCCTAAACATAGTATTTCCAGAACTATCATCTTATTCATATACCAGCGTTTCCTAGTTCCTTGAAAAGTATAGAAGAACTGCTTTATCCAGCCCATATTTTATGTCAACTGGCAAATATTAAGGATGTTTGTTGGTTTCCTGTTTCTTATATATTTTACAAGTTGAGTAAAAACGCGTTATACTGCAACCATTTGTCCAGAGTAATGGTGGCGTTATTAAATATATTTGCGATAAATTGAGGGGAAGATATATATTTTTTTTTGTTTTCTAGGTTTAACTGTTTGTCAGAATAGACAGATATTTTTGGGCCAGATGAACTAAAACTGTCATTGAATTACAGTATATAACCACTTACCTGCATCAATGTCATCATTATCTCGGTTTGTTTGACGCCATATATCACTGGGTAGACCATCAGAAGTACTGATAAACCAACAAAGATCGTCCAAGGTATCAAAGTCACAGGTCCCGTTGGGAGCTATAAAAAAAGGAAACAGCATCTCTTATAGTTCTGAGGAATTGAAATTTAAATGTTTACATATCTAATCCCTCTTCTGGAAATTCAGCCAATCTAACTCATTATTTTGAACAAACTGCACAACGATTACCCAATCATGCACAGGCTTATATAATGGTAAAAAGTGGTTACCCTTTCCTGTTGAGAACATATAGACCAAAATAATATTGTCGTGAGGCTGTATGCCTCTCCAAAGCTAGTTAAAGAGAAATGAATATCTGCATGCCCTATATATATCAATGAACTTTAGATAATATGCTCATTCGTAGTATTCAATTTAGTTGCTAAATATATTGATATGTATTAAGGCTGGTGAACCATTATCAGCCTTCTCCTTTAGCATCATATTGATAGCTATTGAACACGTTACATATAATCAGGGGCTGTCATTGATGATGGCTAAAGTGTCTTTCAGGGGGTTTGTTAATCATAAAAATACTACAAACTCTATACATTTCACAAAATACAAAACATGGATTGAGCAGAAACTGTTTCTGACAAATATCGAAATTGCTATACATGTATCCAACCCCCGGGGAAAATGCTCAAATTTAAATGAATCAAAAGTCCAACGGAAACACTCTCTGGACATGTACGATTCTGGGTAGTGTACTTATTGAGATAACGTTACATCAGGCATATTCCTTATAGGTACTTAACAGTAAGAAAATTAGTATTCCATTAAAACCCATAAACCCTTAAAAGAGGCCATGCAATCTTGCTCGAAATTTGTTATGGCCATTACTGAATATCCATAAATTTCACATATTGAACTTGAATATCCCATTAAAAAGGCATTAACAATGACTTTATGAGTATTAAATTTTCCAGAATAATGGACATTAGATAGTTTTACTCTAAGCCCACGAATAGGTATAATATGCAATTTTGATTGTTTAACAGTTATCACATATTCTTGCCATTGCCATTATTTCCATTTGTTGGGGAGAGTAATGGTCATGTATACTGTACCCGTTATAGAACTGCTCAATATACAGACAGGTAAGAAATTGGATAGATGTTAATTTTCAACTTTCAAGATGCTCCATAAATTTGAGAAAAGTTCATGTGAAGTTGAGGAAAATAACGAATTTGCGTATTTATATTCTTTTCAGGTCATAAAACATTAACATTATCATGGCCCGCAAAAACTGAACAAGATCCAAAGATCAATACATTTAATAAAATACAAGGCTAAATAGCAAACCTTTGATCGTCTTAAGGGATACATTTCAAGGCCATCATTTGTTTAATTTTATTTTCAAAAGACAATGTTATAAATTCTTATATGACCATAAATATACCTATTTGACTTAATTGGTTCACCAATAACCTTAATATTACACATGTATATGGCATTTTTAATGGTGGATATGAATGGTTTCCAAAGTATCTCAATTGTGAAGTTTCTTTCCTGTAAGTATTTATGTGTAATAGGACAAATACACTTAATGTAGCTGAAATCATCACATAATAATTTACCTTTGCATTCTTTATCCGTGATGGCAACCTCATCCAGAGCTATAACATCGCCATATTGGCTTGCCGTGGCTTGGAAGCAGATTTGTAGATTGGAGTCGACCGGAACAGATTGACAGGCATGCAACCAGTTTCCGTCCTGATGTCCTGAGCGTGTCCAGTTCATGTTGCCATTGATAACATATGAGAGACTGCCCACACCTCCCTTCATATGATACATGAAACGAAGTGTCGGCGTTTCCATGGAAGCCGTTGATACGGGTGGAAAGCACAGCGTAGTAACATTACCGAAGGTAGAATTTGATCCTTGGACATACATGTAGTTCCCTGCAGTAAGGACCAAGGTTATATTTATTAATTTGTGTTAACACAAATGAAGTAGCAAAGGTTTAACCTGTGTATAAGATCGATAAATGTACAGGGGATACCGGGAATGTTTTCATTATCAGAAACATTTCCAAGAAATTAAAAAGGAGAACAGGACCCTTAGATTACGGAGATTTAATTTTAATTCTGAAGTTCTGCTGTTAAGTCAGAAAAGCTGTAAGAGTAATCTGCCCTTACCATCTTGTCGACCTTCACCATCACTATGGGGTCTCGTATCGATTGAGAGCGTGCTGCCTTGGCCAATCATCCATCTAAACATTGATCCATTTATGCTGTCTATGCGATATCCACATACATATGGTTCGTTGAAGTTGCAAGGGAGGTCAACCAGAATTTCTGTAATTCAATTGTAATTAATTTGTTTTAGTCTTAATATTCATTACAGCAATGTAAGAAAAAGTAGCAAAAAACATAAAATAATATATGTCAAACTATCTTTGATGTTACCTTTATAAATAAATAGGGAAGGAAAAACAAAAACAAATTCCAACATAAGATCGCAAGATGCTTTAATGCAAAACCTTAACGCATTTATTATAATTAATTTATAACTGAATAAAGTGTTTCCAAATGTAGACTTATTAATGATCTTGTATTTTTTTCTCATTAATGGTTGCATTGATGTCAGTTTGGCACATATTATCTTGATATACATTATAGCAACGTAAGAACAAAGATGCAGGATTTCTTTGTGTATTTTCATCCCTTATTAAATGAACATTAATCATAAAAATAAAACATTTATAATTGTTCAGTTCACAACTTAAGCAATTATATTTTTAAAATCTCAAAATCAAAATGACCGACTGTAATTGATTTCGTAACTGCAAATTAATAGTATAACTTGAACATTGTTAAGGCACAGAACATAAAGATAGATATGCTTTTTAGGCAATTATGTTCTCGCAACGAATGCATCACTAGCAAATGATTCTCCGAGTCTAGGAAAACTATTGCTTATAAATGATTCCTTGTGAGTTTTACCTTTCACGTTGTATTGACAGAATTGGGTCTCAAAGCCAGGCAAGCGATGTGGTATAATTAGGTGGGGATCTGAACTATTTGGAAGTTTTACCTTTATTTTCGCCCCACCCCTTAGCTCCCCTGAAGAAAAGCCTATTTGTACATTTTCAAAAGTAAAACCAGCTGAGGATGGTTCCGACTAAATCAGCCACTCCGATTAACAAGAGGCCCAGAGGGCCTGTATCGCTCACCTGGATATCAAAGTAATCATGGCAAAGCATTCTCCAAATAAGAGGAATGGGCCAGACCCCAAGGACAATCCTTGTATCCTATCTGTATTAGATTTTTCATGCCCAGCAACTTTATGTATGGTTATGGGTAGGGGATTTCAACTGTTTCGAAGGTGTGACTCAGAAATAGTTCCCTAGGTTGTGGCCAGACCACAGGATCAATTATAATATCATGACTGCATTCGTCACTTTATGCCCAGCATATATATACAGTTTTAGGGTGGGGATCTCGACCGTTTCAAAGTTATGACCCAGAGGTTAAGTCTGCGAGGGTGGGACAGACCCTCGGTGGGACAGAATTGACCAAGTTCTAATATCATGACTGCATTCGTTTCTGTTTGGGGTGGGGATCTTAACTTTTTCAAAGTGATGACCCAGGGGTTAAGTCTCCAAGGGTGGAGCAGATTCTGGAACCAATTCTTATATCATGACTGCATTCGTCTATTTATGCCCAGCATTGATATATACAGTTTTGGGGTGGGGATCTCGACCGTTTCAAAGTTATGACCCCGGGATTATGTCTTCAAGGGTGGGGCCAGACCCCTGTGTAATCTTGGAAAGATATGTACATTATTTTCTTCATTCTCAGCAACTGTATACATGGTTATAGGGTGGGGATCTCAACCATTTACAAGCAAACATCTATGTTTGGCCCCACTCTTTAGCCAAGGGTGTCAGCCCCACTACTTGTACAATTTGAAGCCGTGTGGCTCCCCTGAATGCTTCCAACCAAATATGCTTGATATCCAGTGTATAGGTCTACAGAAGAAGTCAATTATAGCAATAAAGCCATATTACCCTTTTTGGGCCGCCCCTCAACCCCCTGGGGGGTCAGCCCAACCATTTGTACAATTTTGAATCCCTGCCTCTCATGAATGCTTCCAACCAAATATGCTTGATATCCAGTGTATAGGTCTACAGAAGAAGTCAATTATAGAAATAAAGCCATATTACCCTTTTTGGCTTCGCTCCTCAGCCCACTGGGGAGTCTGACTCACCATTTGTACAATTTTAAATCCCATTACCTAAGGATGCTTCCAGTCAAATATGATTAATGTCCATCTTTTAGTTGTAGAGGAGAAATCGCTTAAAGCAATATATCCAAATTGATCCCTTTTGGCCCCCCTCAGCCCCTCGGAGTTCAGCCTCACCATTTGTACAATTTTGAATCTCCGCTATCTAGGGATGCTTCCAGTCAAATATGGTCGATGGTCATCTTTTAGGTGTAGAGAAGAAGTCGCTTAAAGCAATATAGCCACAAAACCTTTTTTTGGCCCCTTTTGGCCCCGCCCCTTAGCCCTTTGGGGGTTAACCCTACCATTTGTACACTTTTAATCCCCACCATTTAGGGATGCTTTAGTTAAATTCCAATTAGTGGTTAAGAAGAAGTCGTTTGAAGAAATTGTTGACGAACGGACGACGAACGGACGACGGACGCCACGGTATGGCTAATACAATCAAAATCCTCATCAATTAATGATGCTTACATTCAATTTTGTTTAATGTTTGTTTTGATGTCCGTTTTAAGTTATTATTTACAGGCGGAGGATGAATGACGGACCCGCTATAACAAAAGACCAATTAAGTCCTTCGCACCAGCTTATGATAATCGGAATCTGATATGTCTCACACAACTAAATAAGCCAAACTGTAAGTGTTTCATACGATTGTAATACTTACCTTAACTTTGTTCCGGTTTAATACAGTGCTTTAATTGCAGAGTAATTTAAAAAAAATATTTGGTGACATATTTTCCATTGCATGAAATCTACAGATATTGAACTTAAGAAAATGTATAGTTTTAGCAGTTTTTAATTTAAGATGGCGGATTGATATAGGGTCGAATGTCAGGGTGTTTCAGTCCCACTTCACCAATTTGGCATGTGTTAAATTTGTCAAAAACAGACACCCATAGCACTCTTATATGCCACTAAACTCACCAAAAACTGTCTTTTGAAGCCGTTATCAGGTATGTACCTGTGCATCTAGACAGTTACCAGTAGTGTTGAACTTCAAATATTTACCCTATTAGCTTAAAAACTGAGTTATTACATATAGTAAACTATTTAGTTGTGTGAGTCATTATAGGGGTCCGGTACCACAAGTCAATTTATGGCAGGCTACATATGAAAACGTGGCCTCTTACAAGGGCCTTTTTATGAAATAGTCAATTATCCACTGCTCCCCTGTTTAGTGTTCAACGCTGTACATTTTCCTGAGTTCATTTTCCCGTAACAGACAATGGACGCCACACAATCACCACAACCACATACAATCAAACATCTGCAATTGTTCTGGCTTTCTAAGCTGACAACATACTTTGTTGAAATTCAGACACCTACCTGACACCTTAAGATGTGTGATACTTGACATCACTTACCATGAAACATGCTATATTCGATACAACTGACCTAGATACATTGCCATTCCCAATATAACTCATCCTTACTCATGGCAAACGCAATATAACTCATTTGGAGTCATGGCAATATCCGATGTTACCCAACTTGACACATGGTCATGCCCAATATAACCCTGACTGATACATTGTCTATCTTCTATAAACCATCTTGACATATTATCGTACTCAATGTAACTCACCTGAACATTTACTGTACCGGAATTCAATGTCATCCAGAGCGTAAATCCCATCACACTTAGACCCATGTATTGCATTGGCGGTCAAGGTCATTTGCTTGTTTGTCGGTGTCAGTGGTATATTGGCACACACTTCATACCACCTATAGCCATGGTCTCCATGGGCTACAAAGAGTGGTACAGAATCATTTTTAGATTCCTCTGCCCCTACAGAGATATCTAGAGAGGTCATATCTCCATACATACGGAAGAAAAATGAAACAGAGATGTCTTCTGAAGGTTTTAGTTCGAAAGTTGGTGATTCAAGGGTTGCAATGTCTCCATCTGAAGATTGTTTACCGTCACACTGCCGGGCACACATCATGGAGCCTTCAATTAGAACAGACATATTTGTAAATCATATATTACAAAGGAATATTTCAATCTAGGATATGTACATTTATTTATGTCTTGGACTGTCAGTGAATGTTTAAATATAGTTCAGATTGTATGTCCACTGTATTAAAACAAATCCGATACAAAATTAATTATATATTTCATAAATCACTATATATGAATGACGCCCTGTCCCGCATTCCACATTAATATGGCTGTCACGGGCAGTACAACATTGTATCCTTTTTTCAAGGGTATATCTTCTTTTCAACTCTTGCTCGTTTTGATGACTTTTTTTCCCTGTTGTTGTTGTTTTTTTCTTCTTCCTTTTTATGTTTTTATTAACTAATTGTGATAAAATGCACAAAGATTATACTTTTATACATGTCTACGAAATTCCGTAAGATGATAGAATGTTTAGCAGTTCAATAGTTATGGCCCAGCGAAACCATTTCTTGCTGTGTAAATGTACTTTGGTCACTGTTCATGATGAAATATTGAACACATTATCTAATTACATTAATGATGCCTGTATATATAACTACTGATGAATTAAGTTTAAAAATGTACGATCAGTAAAACGTTTGAAAATGAAGCACTTAATTGACTTTGCTCGTGAAAACCGAGTGAATGTAATATCTCTATTGATTAATCAAGGTCCAGAGAAGTTATAAATACAACTACTGCAACTATCCTTCAAAACATATAACAATCTGGGTGAGAAATGGGTTACATGCCTTGTGGAAGTTTTGGTGAAGCAGTTTTTCTTGAGTATCACCACTCTTTACCAAAATATTTCAACTAATCTCACTTTTGTTTGCACAGGAAAGATACGACTTATATGTATAAATTCAGTGATTGCCGACCATATACTCATGTCAAGCAAGTCTTTACTTATATCAATACTTCCAACAGATATATTTACCGTACTTACCTGGACCAAATGGTGTGTGATCCATACCACCACAGTATTCAGTTTTGAAAAATGCAAACGATGAATTCTCCGAGGTTCCGGTAATGTAGCCGCAAGTGCTGGAAAGTTGTTCAAAGTTACAGTTGGCTATATCTGAAAATTCAACACATTATCTTATTATAATTTCGCAGGCAATATACAATCAAATAATTGAAGAGTGTCCTTGTCAATCAATCCGTCCAATGTAAGATGTGCATGGAGTTGATATCACTGATGATATGACCTATCACGACTACGGTTTGGGCTTATCTGTACATAAAGATTTGGATAAGTACTAACCTGTACGTCATGACCAATGCCATTCCATTTGTTGGGACTTATCTGTACGTAAAGATTTGGATAAGTACTAACCTGTCCGTCATGACCAATGCCATTCCATTTGTTGGGACTTATCTGTACATTAAGATTTGAATAAATATTAACCTGTACGTCATGACCAATGCCATTCCATTTGTTGGGATTTATCTGTACATTAAGATTTGGATAAGTACTAACCTGTACGTCATGACCAATGCCATTTCAAAACCTCTGTTGTGACTTATCTGTACAATTTTATCTATAAACGTACTTACATGTACAGCATGACATCTACAATGACCTACCTGTACCTAATGGCCAACTGTATATGCTATATACTTGGACATTTTTGCCCTTTTCGTTCTGACGATCGCAAATTTATGATGACATCGCATACTGGTACCCAACTTGCTATGGATTTTACCAGTGAAGAGGTTTTACAGTAAGTTCTTGCCGGTATAACATAATTTTGAAATTTTTAATTTGATGAAGTACTTTTTTTTATGACATGAGAAAGTAATCTTCCTTTTTTCAGGTCTATACTACCACCTTTGCACCGAACTATATATTTGAATTGATTTTCATCATTAAACTATATTTAAGCATTGTAGCGCGCATTATGATTTGTTTGCTTGCAAAGCTGTGTCATTCAAATAGATTATAAATACCATACAAAAACAGTTCAATACTTATATTTACGTTTTCTCTGCCTCTTATGTTCTTTTTTAACTTATAATTTATATTCAAAATTAAAAATGCCCGCCTTATCGACAGTCCACACAATTTCGTTCAATAGTTTGAACAGCGTATTGTCGCGTGCTAATTGGCAAACAAAGTAGTACTTTGTAATTTAAACAAACACTTCAATTTTATTCCACAATTCAGTATCAATACAATTAGGTTTGATATGTTTATAGGGTGATTTAAGTTTATCAATAGAACTCTGATCTGAAAGTTAGATTTGAAATTGTTTCGATTTTCCCCCGGAACAAATTTCGCGCATGGACAAATACAGTGACACCGGAAATCCGACCTTGCCTTCCACGAGGGAGTTATTTTTGGAAGATAATTCGAACTTTTCTCTTTGCTAATTTTGTGAAGAATTCAAGCTTGAATGTATTTGTTGATTGTATGGGAACCTGACAACAGTCGGTAGATTCTATAACATCCTCGATAGAAACTGAGGAGATGTGGATGCGAGACGCGTGAAACTGATAGCGTTTGAAGTGAGTGATCCTGCGACGGAGCATAGGTTCGTTACAAATGTCTGAAATGTTAATGTGTGCTGTGACTCATATCAGTAGGTCTGTAACATATGTGTCAGCAGGTCTATAGAATATGTGTATTTCAAACATTTGTAACGAACCCCTGTTGATCAATGTAGTGTAACAGACGATATCTCTGATAAATTGCATGAGCGTTAAAAAATGTTTCCACAGCCGACATTGGTGATTTCAACCGATGTGCATTTTGTACGATATTGCAGACATTGGTTTTGTTTTCGTTGTAATAATTTTTTTTTTATTTTATTTTTTATTTTGCACATAAATTTACAATGGTATTGTCAAATCTCAGAATGCCTAGCGATATTTCAGCAGCCGTCATGTTTATTTATATTGGATATTGTAGTTCCGGTCAGTGTTGTATTAATACGCTAAGAATTGTGTCTCGTGCTGCATGGTAATTAAAGTCCCATCAACGACACAGCTTTCAAAGCGGCTATATAGTGACAATGCCATGCAAATGTAAATATAGTACGTATGAAAATTGTTAGGAGGGAAATGCTGCATTTGACAGACAGCTTTATTGTGATGTTACAAATGAAGTGACTTTATCTTATCAACACAATGTTGAAGTGCTGGATCTACAAATAGTAACACCGATTGAACATCACTAATCTTACCTGTGAGGACTAAGGAAAACGTTGCGTTATCCTATGATCTTCATATAGTTTAGCAAAGCTGCTGATCAAATCTTATAATTTTCGTAAATATTTATTTCAGTCAGATATAAAATTTTACCAATAACTATGCTTACGAGGACAGCGTTCTAAACTGATAATGATGGCGTCGACTGTCAATATTTATTTCGGTCAGAGAAATAAATTTTAACCACTAAATATGCTTACGAGGACAACGTTCTTAACTGATACTGATGCATCGACTGTCAATATTTATTTCAGTCATATATCAAATGTTAACCAAAAAAATATGCTTACGAGGACAGCGTTCTGAACTGATACTGATAGCGTCGACTGTCAATATTTATTTCGGTCATATATCAAATGTTTACCAAAAAATATGCTTACGAGGACAACGTTCTGAACTGATACTGATGGCGTCGACTGTCAATATTTATTTCGGTCATATATCAAATGTTAACCAAAAAATATGCTTACGAGGACAACGTTCTGAACTGATACTGACGGCGTCGACTGTCAATATTTATTTCGGTCAGATATCAAATGTTAACTAATAAATATGCTTACGAGGACAGCGTTCTGAACTGATACTGATGGCGTCGACACCAACATCCATAGACACGCTGCTGCCATGGTAGGCAATGATCGTCAAATTAGCATTGATGTCTGTATTGATGGTTGGTTTAAATGGAAAACAAATATCTTCCCAATATCCACCTGTCAGATGATCTTGCCAGAACAGTAGTTCTTTTGAAGCATAAACCTGGAAATAGTTTCAAGAAAATAATCAAAAAATATATAAGTGACACGTCATCACGTTTGATACAGCGAACTCGTAGAGAAATTTTTCTGTTAATATTTCATTCAGGAGGCTGGCTCAGCATTGTATAGTCTAAGGAAGGCTTGCACAACAGTTAACCATTATACTCTTAAGGAGGCTTGCTTATCATTTTGCTTTTGGGTAGACTTCTTAATCGTTTAAATCTTATACAAATGTACAAGCCATTTCATTCCCAGGGCAAAATGGTAATCATAACTGTTGAGGACCATGTGGTAGATTGGCCTTTAGCTAAACATGTCATCCTCGTTAAGTAAAGTTTATTATTATCATTATCATTATTATTATTTAATGGACACTAAATCATTGTTATTCTAGGAGAAATTAACCCTTATTTATATATTTGACGGAATGGTCTCTCCTCTATTTACTGTCTCGGTAAGGCTTGCTGGTGATTATGCTCTTGGGAAACCATTTTATTACTGCGAAAGCTCAATCTCCTTTTTACTGTTATGAAAGCTTGTACATCCGGTAACGCTCACTCACTATTTCAGCACAAAACTGTTAAGGAAACTCACTCACCATTTCAGCACAATGCTGTTAAGAAAGCTCACTCATTATTAAACAGTCTTAGGAGACTCGTTCATAATATTTTTTAAGGATCCTCAGTCACCATTATATAATCTTAGAAAAGTTCGCTCATCATTTTATCATTATTTTCTTTAAACGGTTTGCTCATCACAATGCAGTTACAGATACTCGTTCATCTTCATACAGACTAAGAAAGGCACATTAATTAAAACAGTCAGTTTTAATGATACTTATTCAACATTATACACTCATTTTTAAATAATTATAGGAGTCTTGCTAATAACTATACAGTCCCCAATACATCATATTACTCTTAAATATCACCATACAACAAACAACCAAGGATACTCGCAGTGTACTATATTAATATGAAATAACCCCAATCACTATACCTACATGTATGTATGTATAAGGCATTCAATGGGCAACAATCAATCTTTTTATATTCTTTCTTTATTATAACAAAAACAATTATATTTTGAGACAAGATCTAAATTACCTTTAAAGTAGCAGAGACGTTGAATTTACTATCACTGATATAGCGGAAGCGGAGAGTGTCATTAGCGGACATATGGACGTCAGGAAACATGGCAATGGCTTCGTCTCCTTGCTCTCCATAGCTTCCATCAGCAAACAGGTAGAATCCTGCATTCATATTCAAAAACAAACACTTTAAATATTGGAATTGACGCACACTCGCGTTTTCGTTTCGCTTGAGTGTCGGGTGAGAAATCGTGTCGGGTGATAAATTGTGCCGTAACACACGTGCGTTGTAAGAGCACGATGGGTAAAATAGATTTATTATCCCTGTGTGATTTAGACAAAGAGACGCTCAAGCGAAAGGAAAAGTTTTGAGGGGAAAACATGGTTCTGAGCCAAAAAAGTCTTGCATACAATCTTGTACATTAAATAGTCGGTTGTTAAAGCCTTCCATCGGCGTGTGTTGCCTTGTATAACCATGTACCGACCTTTAAATAAAATTTACTTTAACTTGAACTTGAATTAAAACATATCGATCTTTGAGGGAATACAATTGGGATCAACCGCTTAGTAAGTGCAAGAAGTTTACTAAAGGTTAATTAATAAATTTATCTACGGATAGACAAAAATATGGACTTATAATAATTTAAAACTTATCAGTATCAAAGGGTTCACTGCTACATGTATATAGCTTAATAAAGGGTAAGCAGACATTTTATTTCCTCAAAACGATTCAGCAGCAAGCAGTCATCTGATTGGTAAAAGGTAAACATAAAATTCAAGATATCCACGTACCCCTGCCGTCCTGTGGCTTCGGTTTCCATGCATATGGTCGAGGACTCGAGAGATACCCTCCGCTCCAGGGATCACATTCAGATGAAAATTGAACACCACACAAGCCTGCACTGTCAAAGTCACATGATCTGTCTTTGGAGAATGCTGCCAAAACATCAAAAAATAAAATTCCCAAAATCGATAATCATGGATTATATTCATTTTTGAATATAAACATTCGAAAAGATGTCACTAATTTATTTTCTTTAATGTTTTTTTCCAGATTAATTTCTTGTTATACTTGTTCAGAGTTCAGAAAATTCTAGGAATAGGGAAATTTTGCGCAAAGCAAGGAGGAACTAGGAAATGAAATTACACACATTTTATTCCAACAACGAATGAATATAAAACACAGTTACATGTATGTGAATGAGGGAATCCTGTAAGAAAGAATGAAAGTTCCGCCAAGAAAACCTCTGATCTTAAAATAACCTTAGTGACCTACCTGGACAAACATCGTCGGCTGATACTTTGACGTAGTGAATGGAAACAGCTTCGAACACATACTCTGTTACCTCGTCCGAACCTCGGACGTAAGAGAACATAGCACTGACAAGCTCATTAGCCGGCAGGTCAATACACACTTCTATGACAGAATCTGTAAGGCTGTAGTCTGATTGGAACATGACCTTGTTATTAAGGGTCAAGGTCAGAAGACCAACAGCAGAACCCGATAGCTTGTAGCTGAAGTAAAGAGATCCGTTTTGAGGCGTTGTAAAGCTTGGTGATACGATGGAGTCATGCTGCCCTTCTTTTGTATGCAGTTCGAGGATACTGACGGACTCTATAAATAGATAAACAAAATATTAGTTCTGCTTTATAGACATAATAAACGTTAAACGTTGATCATAAATCGACAAGTCAGTTCTTCATGGATCAACGATATCCGTGCAAATGACCGTTCAGATGTTCATGAACATGTAGCAATGGCCATAATAGGAGTTACTGTAAAACTCCTTTTTTAGCAGAAACATCCCTTAGCCGAAAATTGAAAACAGACTAGCACACTGAAGAATCAGCGCACTCAACATGTATATACAGGAACTTCAATAAGCGCAGACATTATTTGTTTATGGAGCTTTCAATCTATGAATCTAAGAATAGGTTTGTTTGTCACGATAACATTTTTTTCCAATACTAATTTGCAGTGACTGTCATGACTCTAGAAATGTTTGCTGTATTTTACGCGATTATTTCTGGATTCGAAGTCACCCATTATGTTGGTCGCATCATACATTTGAAAGACATCCTCAGATTGAATGTTTGTATGGTTTCACTGACTATTTTGCAGTAGTTTTTATATTACTGTTCCTTCTGGTGTCCATTGTTATCAAACTGGATTCCGCTTTTGTGTATTAACACTGTGTGTGGATATATACTTCTTTCTTATTTTTTCCACAACTCACCTGATAATAACGTCCATGTGCTGGAGGCATGATATCCACACATAGGTATGTTCCCTCTGAAGCCACAGTTCACATTAGCATCGCCTGTGTAACACATCAAACTCTTTTTAAACACAATCAAAAACAGTTCAGAACAATTAAAGGAAAGCATGCGTCTATATAATTTGATTGTAAACATAACTTGAAAACATGCGTTGGTATGTACAGTTGTGGGAATGGACAACGTTACACGATTTACCAATATTTACGGTTTCTTGTTTGAAGATGTAAACTTGTTTTTTCAGGTATGTTTCTATATTCTAGCTATATATGTCAGCTGATCTTTCAATTTTTTCTTAAATTCAGAAATTGTGTTTCGGTGTGTTCTAAACAACCCAAATCGACAAATGTAAAATTATAACACGTATAGACACGGTCCCCTATATAGGTAAACATTGCCACTTTGTACCTGGACCGTAGTTTCCGCCCTCGGGGCACTTACGTAACTCGGCAAGGTGGGAAAGGTGGGAAACTCCATGTGAGGGAGAGGTATAGACCAAATAACAAATACTTAAAGTCCAGTTGTATTTTCATAACAGTCATCCGGTATCATATATCGGCTCTCTATGTCAGCCAAAGGGCGCCAGGTAAAACTCTGGTCACTCATCAAACTGTTATTTATATGTTCTGTAAGCTGGGTACCAAACACATTCTGTCTGTTTTACTAACCACACTGGAGAACACCACTGGAGCAGGACTTTACCGACGCGTAACAGTCAGACAATGTTGTACTGTTATCACTGCAGGATATATCGACAGCTTCATCTACAGCATCTCCTAACTGATTGTGGCCGGCGCTGTGTAATTAAGGAAATATGAAAAAACTAGTCTGACATTTTATATGAAAAAAAAAGGAAAAAAATATAATTTGAAAACTTTCTAACTAATTGTGTCTCTATGGGTTTAACACAAACAATAGCCCTATACGTACTGAAATACTTAATAGGGAAAATACTTGTGCACAATCTTTGAGGCCCTTTTTCTGAATAAACATTGGACAAAATCGAACAAAAGTCAATAGTATTGTTTATATAAAAGAAGAAGACACGAATTCCATACTCGAGCCTATGCTACCGTATAAGATACGTATTTGTAGAATTTCTAAATTGTAGGCCACACAACATGTTAACAAAATCCCCATCACAAAGTGACCTCCAATTAGCAAAACATCACAACTTGTCTATTTATTGGAACTCGAAACAATATTTTTAACTCTTGACAGTGACATCTGAAAAGATAGTTAACTTTTTGTATTACAGAGTATATGAGGTATGCCTGAACATGATGCAAAGTGAACAAAGGGTCATAACCCTATTCATGATATGGACTCTAGATTGGATCAAAGCACACGACATCCTGCCAGCCATGATGTATTCACTAACATAATAAGGCCGTTGTAGGTAACCCATATTCCGTCCTTGCGTATTGCAGAGTTATCTTCTCTTGAGAGCAGGTATTGATTGTTACGTCATTCGTCTGTGTGAGAAAATTACGTCTTTTTCTCAAAAATTGATGACGTTACTCTCACAAACAAGTGACGTACCAATCAATCCCTCCTCCCAAGAGAAGATAACTCTGCAATACGCAAAGAGGGAATAGGAATTATGTGCTATCTAACATGATGTTTTATCCGGGTAAGTGCGTTGGCAGTCCAATTTCTCACCCATGTGTGAATAGTACAAACATACATTTATCACAAATTGTACTGTGTTATCAAGTGAATATATCCATGTCACATTTATTTGCGTATTAACCCATATACTGGGACCTATCAGCCCTGTGATTGGTTGTAAGTTTCAATTATTTCAATTGTGACGTCACGCCTAGAACAAGAAATGACGTCAGAGACTTACGCACTGGAGTCAAAATGGCGGCTTTTTACATTTCAAGGTTGCATGAATATTGTCGTTTTACACGAATAAATGCCACAAATCTTGATTATGTGATAACAAGAATATTACACTCGATATAATTTCATATGAAATTTATGAAACTCGTCACGAATTTTTCATTTTCACTCGCCAAAGGCTCGCTAAATTGAATAATTCATCTATCTCATATGAAATGGTGAGATTTCGAATCTTTTTCACTAAGCTCTCTTTCCCCTTCATTCTTCCTCTGATATAGTAGACAAAACAAATCCCTGTTCATTGTCACACCGCGGGTTTATTATAGTACGTTCAAATCTACTAGTTAACATGTATGATTTATATATTATGACGGCCCGAACGCGAAAATCAACATCAATGGTATCCAGGATGATTGTGTCTGGTTTTAGATCTCTGAGGCGAAGCCAAAGAAAGAGAAGCTAACTGTTGGCCAAGCTAACTGTTGGAACAATGAGTGTTTCAATGACGTCATGTATAATACGACTAACCGCCTTTGATAACGTTATTTACATTACCGCTTACTTTAAACATCATCGAACTTACAGCATATTTCAGCAACGAAATTGTCCCTATGGATTTCCTTAGATGGGTTATTTATCTTATATTAGATAGAGGTTTACAATATTTCAGCAGAAACTTCCCAATGAACAAGTACTTACCTATATCCCGCTTTGCTACACAGAATTCGGACCTCTGTAGGCTGAAGGAAGCATGTAGGAATATGTTTTCCTTTATAGGTCACCATGGCTACCCCATCGTCATTCACAGTCACGTTAATTTCGTCTGAGAGATAATGTATAAAGTCATATTAAGAACTAAACTTCTGGCGATATAACTTAACAAAAACGGGGTCAAGGTCAATGTGCCTGGCAGTACACCTGGTCTTTTTAAGCTTGAATGTCCAAAATTGACCAAGGGTTCCCAAGTCCTCTCTGAGAAACAGCGATGATTAAGTTTAAATGTGATAATCCAAGTAAGCTGTCCGACAGCCTCCAATACATTTTGTATTATTAAAAAAAGGACTTAATCTTTATAAATGCAAAGAGGCATGGAGTTGTTAGATATTTAAACATTGGATATGAATATTGGGAACCAAATTTTGCGTCAATTAATTTTATCTTATCTTTATGATTCGAATTCATTTGAGATATAACACGGAATCTGATTGGTCAATCGAACCGATTTGCGAGGTATAGCAACAATATATTGTCTTCAAATTTCTCATTTGAATATAAAGCCCGAATGGTGATTGTTTCTGATGTCTATGACCCCGACTGACAATGACATATAATGGATTTGATTATTAATTGCGCCGCGAACATAAGCGTGCCCCCGAAAGGGCAATGTCATTCCGTCTCACTTTGAATGTTCCTGACGTCAACACTGCTCCGGATAGACCCACACTTTGAAGAAAAACTTACTAAACGTCCTAAACCTATTGTATTTCAGATAATCTGAATTTGAAAATATTAAAATACGGATAAATTCACTTTATTTTGATATTTGTGCCGGTATATCGTGATTAAACTGTTACAAATATCCGTTTTACTGACTACATTCTGCGTCGCCAATGAAACTAATTTTATGACAGTTTACTAACGATATACTGCCGCAAATCTATAAATACAATTGGGCTATCTCCTTAATATTATCCATCATCTTTAACATCTGAGTTTGTAACTATAAAATTGAGTTTTGGTTTATTTGGTTTTACTTCCTATTAACAGCTATGGTCATTTATGGACGTGCCGGTTTTTTGTGGTGAAGGAAAGCCGGAGTTCCCGGAGAAAAACCACTGACCTACGGCCAGTACCTGACGACTGTCCCTCGTAGGCCTCGAACCAGCGACTAAGTGGTAGAGGCCCACTGTACCTATTATAAAGGTAAGTATTCATGGGAATATGGTAGGCACATATTCATATGTTCGTACCTGCTATGGAATCAGGCCAAGTTATTGCCGGTGGAGCACTAGTGGTAGGTGGTGAAGTAAAGTTGAAATTTTCAATACCTGTAAATTAAGTAACGAATACTTTGTAAACAAAAAAAGGGTAGTCATATTAAGGTAACAATACACACTTATCATTATAGGCAGATACGCCACATTACACAGAAGCTCACAGGTTTTCACAGTAAAAAGTTGACTCACAAACCATCTTTTTAACTACCGCACAGAAGATATAAGATGAAAATTCACAAACAATGATAATGATTTTTCACAAGATCTTGTAGACAAAACAATAATTATTTCACTTCATCTGTATCGGATTCATAGATTTTCACACAGTTTTTTTTATGTGAAAAACTGCACACAGTTCTTAGAATTACTCACAGTCAGGGCAACACAGGTCTCAGAGAAAAAATAACTGTTTCCAACAGGAAACAATGCATCCATTACTTACGACAGGTACTAAACATCAGGTCTCACACCAGTATTCCACAGGAATTCAGTTTCCCAGAAGAAACATAACACTCAATACTTATGACAGGTACTCAACATCAGGTCTCACACTAGTATTCCACAGGAATTCACAGTTTCCCAGAAGAAACATAACACTCATTACTCACGACAGGTACTCAACATCAGGTCTCACACCAGTATTCCACCGGAATTCACAGTTTCCCAGAAGAAACATAACACTCAATACTTACGACAGGTACTCAACATCAGGTCTCACACTAGTATTCCACTTGAATTCACAGTTTCCCAGAAGAAACATAACACTCATTACTTACGACAGGTACTCAACATCAGGTCTCACACTAGTATTCCACAGGAATTCACAGTTTCCCAGAAGAAACATAACACTCATTACTCACGACAGGTACTCAACATCAGGTCTCACACCAGTATTCCACTGGAATTCACAGTTTCCCAGAAGAAACATAACACTCAATACTTACGACAGGTACTCAACATCAGGTCTCACACTAGTATTCCACTTGAATTCACAGTTTCCCAGAAGAAACATAACACTCATTACTTACGACAGGTACTCAACATCAGGTCTCACACTAGTATTCCACAGGAATTCACAGTTTCCCAGAAGAAACATAACACTCATTACTCACGACAGGTACTCAACATCAGGTCTCACACCAGTATTCCACTGGAATTCACAGTTTCCCAGAAGAAACATAACACTCAATACTTACGACAGGTACTCAACATCAGGTCTCACACTAGTATTCCACTTGAATTCACAGTTTCCCAGAAGAAACATAACACTCATTACTTACGACAGGTACTCAACATCAGGTCTCACACTAGTATTCCACAGGAATTCACAGTTTCCCAGAAGAAACATAACACTCATTACTCACGACAGGTACTCAACATCAGGTCTCACACCAGTATTCCACAGGAATTCAGTTTCCCAGAAGAAACATAACACTCAATACTTACGGCAAGTACTCAACACCAGGTCTCACACCAGTATTCTACTGGAATTCACAGTTTCCCAGAAGAAACATAACACTCAATACTTACGACAAGTACTCAACATCAGGTCTCACACCAGTATTCCACAGTAATTCACAGTTTCCCAGAAGAAACATTACACTCATTACTTACGACAGGTACTCAACATCAAGTCTCACACCAGTATTCAACCGGAATTCAGTTTCCCAGAAGAAACATAACACTCAATACTTACGACAAGTACTCAACATCAGGTCTCACACCAGTATTCCACCGGAATTCACAGTTTCCCAGAAGAAACATAACACTCATTCCTCACGACAGGTACTCAACATCAGGTCTCACACCAGTATTCCACAGGAATTCACAGTTTCCCAGAAGAAACATTACACTCATTACTTACGACAGGTACTCAACATCAGGTCTCACACCAGTATTCCACCGGAATTCAGTTTCCCAGAAGAAACATAACACTCATTACTCACGACAAGTACTCAACGTCAGATCCCTCATAAGTCTCATACAGAAGTTTGTAGTTTATTACAGGGTAAAGTGCGGCAATAATTCAATGTCAGGTCAAACACAAGTCTCACAGAAGAGTTGGCAGATTCTCACAGGAAAAAGTGCACTCATTACTTCAGGCAAAAACTCAATGACAGGTCCAAAAGGAAACATTAAACTCATTACTTGCGGCATTAACGTAACGTCATGTCTCACACACATCTACCTCAGGAATTAACACAGCTCACACAGGAAATATTCCCCGTGTTACTTACTCTGAATTCCTTTACAGTTGTCAGTGGGCAGCAACTCACATATATTCTTATAGTAAGACGGATCAGGTTGGTTAGGCCAGCAAAATTTGTAAATGTCCAAATATTCTGAAAAAATACATAATTTTGATATATATAATATAGATACAGTCAAACCAGTTAGATAGGAATCCTCGGGGTAGAACATTGTTTTCAATATAACCGGTGTTTTATATACCCGATAGGCACATCCGTTACCCAGAAATCCCCCCTGATACAGTGTAGGACAAATCGATAGAGCAGCAAATGTATAACGTCTAAAACTAAAAACCATCATTAGATAACTTGATATTGTATACTTTGTATACAAATTTCATAGCATTTGTTTCACTTATTTTATACATCTCTGTTATAACAAATGCGCCCCTTGAAAATGGTCTGTCATACAGGATATACAGGAATCGTGACGAGGTTGAGACTGAGTTAGTTATAGAACGTAATTTAATGTTCAGGAACCCAATGTTTTTATGACATCATTAATGTTGAAAATTAACTATATTCCAGTTTACATTAATTATGATTTAATGCAAAAGTTAATGCTATTTTGTCAATTATACTAGGCATACAGAATGTAAATATATATATAGGCTTATGTCTTCATCATTCAATCAGAATCAATACAATCATTTACATAGGACAAAAACCGGACTGGTTTGATCAGGCGCATTACCAAACCGATTGAATAGAGACTTTTCAATGTCGCTATGGCCTATGATGTAGCTATATACAATTTTGTTTGTGGCATCAGATATTATTTTAATCAGTATTGAATTTGGGAAAGATATCGTTTAACAATATTTGTTCAAGCATTACAGGTCTTGTAAAATGACGACTAAATTACATAATTGTCGAATACAGATTCGATTTCCTCAGATTTGAAACATTTATTTTGATTTTTTTTTTAATTATATAAATACTTCCAAATTGATAATATAAAATCAGACAGATATATCTAAAAATATAAAAAGGTTTGATAAGTCCTTTAACATATTTTTCATATTCAATACTTCTGATAATTGTTAGATAATTCTGTGAAGACTTACTTTTACATTGGTCCCTGCAAAGCTGTATAACTGTGTCATTGGCACAGATCGGGAAGTGAACAATACATAAGCCCTCTGTGAGAGCACGTTCACACTCCGGAGATCCCACACCGTCTACCCTGTTGGCATAGGCCATGCTAATGGAATATTCAGCATGAGGGTAAAAGCGATGACACAGAACATTGGGCATCATGGTGTAGTGAAAGCCGTATTCGGTACACTTCTCGTAGGCTATCTTAGTACACATACCTGATAAACATCAACCAATTAAAATTAGGCAGGCACAATTATAACTTTGGATAGACAACTTATATCCTAAATCTCATAATCAGTCAATGTATTTGTATTTTAAAATATTACCATTCTGATTAAAATTAATGTAGAGCTTTTGCCTTAGTCTTTTAGTTAATAAAGTCCCTTGAACCATGATGAACATGGATAGTCGAAGTGACATTGAACGAGAGTGGAGTAAAGCGTTTTCCTGACTTTGAATTAAAGGCGGTACTATTCATATAAAAAAATAATTAATCTATGACTCACTTTCTTAATAACAATGTGTTCAATTTGGCCGCCAGATAATAGTTCATCCAATGTTTCACTAAGGTATTCTCTTTGAAAAGGAACTGACTGGTGTTATTATAATAAATAAAATTCTGTCAAAAAAGGGAGATTGAATTTCAGTTATCAACATAGAAGAGGGAAATAACTCAATGTTACTCATTGGACGTTTTAGTGCCGTTTACATTTGACAAAAATGTTTTGCTTATGGACACAATCCTACTTTCACCCATTGAGGAGGGAATGTTTGCTGTAGCCATTCAATTGAGAGTGGGTGCCCCTGCCTTAATATTTCCGGCACACTCAACCTACTAAAAACTTAAAAAAAATAGTATTGGACAATAACATACCTTGTGGTGCGTTTATAAGACATATTAAATAGATGAAATAAATAAAACATAATAAATCACAGTGTTATAAGTGTAAACAAAATCGGTGGTTATTGACCTAGTATTCGATCTATGAACTTTATATACAATTGTTGTTATCTATTGAGCTTCTGGAACTGTACAGGCCCACAGGTGCAAAAGATATATCAAAACGGAAGTTAAGGGGGGATTACTGTTTATAGTAAAAACCACAGTGTAGTGGCAAAGGGTTCTTAAAACATCTTTGAAAATCTCTGCAGATCTAGTAACACCTGAAAACTGCATGTTTGTTTATACTTTCTACCTCTAGCTATTATAGAATTTAAGGGAAAAGAGGCAATTTTTCCTTTTATATAAAAGGGAGATATGTTAGGCAATTCTTTAAACATCTCCATTGATGTGTCAGATTTCCTATAATCATGTTTGATGATGGTGTGGTACGTTGTCAAATAACATACCAGTTGTTGTCACTCATTCTAGAGAAAGAGAGTTCATGTTGCAAAAATTACACATTATAGAGTGTGATTGTTCCTGTTACGTATGTGCAGAATGACAGTCCATGTTTCTTGTTATTGAGGGAGACAGCCCTTGTTACTCATAATAGAGGGAGACAGTCTATGTTACGTATTAAAGAGGGAGATAGTTCATGTGACCAAGACAATTAAACAAATAGTCACCTGTGGAGTTAGTCGGTGATGAAGTCGAATTCACTGAGGCAGTTGTATTTGCTGGAGGTACAGTTGTTGCATTTGAAGAAACTACAACATATAACATGTATTTATTATTAACTTTACTTTTGAGGTCTGTAAGTCATAACGGTATTCGATTTAAAAGGCAGAGATTTTATCTCAATGTTACCCTGAACAGAGGAAATAACTGTATAATCTCTCAAACAAGTTCAATAATGTATCAGATTTGATAAAAATAAGGTTTGCTAAGGCTATGTTCAATTGTCAAAGAATATGGCCTGTTATTGGCACCGTTTCTAAAGAAAGACAGTTATTGCTACTCATTAAAGAGGGATATAGTTGATGCTTCTCATTATATATAGAGACAGTTTACGTTATTTATCATAAAGGGAGATAGTTCACGTTACTCATTATAGAGGGAGACAGGTCACGTTACTTATTATAGTGGAAGAAGTTCACGCTACTCATTATAGAGTGAGACAGGTCACGTTACTTATTATAGAGGGAGACAGTTCACATTACTTATTATAGAGGGAGACAGTTCATGTTACTCATTATAGAGGGAGACAGTTCATGTTACTCAGTATAGAGGGAGACAATCCATGTTACTCATTATAGAGGAAGACAGTCCATGTTACTCATTAAAGAGGGAGACAGTTCACGTTATTGATTTTAGAGGGAGGAGTTCATGTTTATTATTGTAGAGGGAAAGAACAAAAAATGCCCTTTTGAATATAAGTTAAAGTTTCACGTAAACAACATTGAACAAAGAGTCACCTGAAGAGTTAGTCGGCGATGTAGTCGAATTCACAGAGGCAGTTGTATTTTCTGGAGACATTGTAGTTGTATTTGAAGATCCTACAACACATAACATATATGTTACTGATTTTAACATTTAAAGTCAGTCAATTATAACGTTATTCTTTTTGAAAAGTAGAGTTTATATTCCAAATTTACATTGTAGAGAAAGATAACACTTGTCAGCAATATCTGTGAAAAAATAATGACAGAATATCTCATAGACAAGTTCAATGATGTGTCAGATTTAACATAGCGATGTTTGCTGATCGTGTAATCAATTGTCATAGAACATAGCCCGTTCTTGTCACTCATTTTAGAGAAATACAGTTAACGGTACTGATTATAGAGGGAGAGAACATATAATTACTTAAAGACAGTTCACGTTACTGATTATAGAGGGAGAGAAAATATCGTTACTTAAAGACAGTTAACGTTACTGATTATAGAGGGAGAGACATTATCATCACTTAAAGACAGTTAATGATACTGATTATCGAGGGAGAGAAAATATCATTACTTAAAGACAGTTAACGTTACTCATTATTGAGGGAAAGCAAATATCATTACTTAAAGACAGTTAACGTTACTGGTTATAGAGGGAGAGACATTATCATTACTTAAAGACAGTTAACGTTACTGATTATAGAGGGAGAGACATTATCATCACTTAAAGACAGTTAATGATACTGATTATAGAGGGAGAGAAAATATCGTTACTTAGAGACAGTTAACGTTACTAGTTATAGAGGGTGAGAAAATATCATTACTTAAAGACAGTTACCGCTACTGATTATAGAGAGAAAAAAAATATCATTACTTAAAGACAGTTAACGTTACTCATTGAATATAGTGGAAGGGACAATATCATTACTTAAAGACAGCTAACGTTACTGATTATAGAGGGAGAGCAAGTATAATTACTTAAAGACAGTTAACGTTACTGGTTATAGAGGGAGAGACATTATCATTACTTAAAGACAGTTAACGTTACTGAATATAGTGGAAGGGACAATATCGTTACTTAAAGACAGTTAACGTTACTGAATATAATGGAAGGGACAATATCATTACTTAAAGACAGTTAACGATACTGATTATAGAGGTAGAGAAAATATCATTACTTAAATACAGTTAACGTTACTCATTATTGAGGGAGAGCAAATATCATTACTTAAAGACAGTTAACGCTACTGATTATAGAGGGAGAGAAAATATCGTTACTTAGAGACAGTTAACGTTACTAGTTATAGAGGGTGAGAAAATATCATTACTTAAAGACAGTTAACGCTACTGATTATAGAGGGAGAAAAAATATCATTACTTAAAGACAGTTAACGATACTGATTATAGAGGGAGAGAAAATATCGTTACTTAAAGACAGTTAACGTTACTGATTATAGAGGGAGAGAAAATATCATTACTTAATGACAGTTAACGTTACTGATTATAGAGGGAGAGACATTATCATTACTTAAAGACAGTTAACGTTACTGAATATAGTGGAAGGGACAATATCGTTACTTAAAGACAGTTAACGTTACTGAATATAGTGGAAGGGACAATATCGTTACTTAAAGACAGTTAACGTTACTGGTTATAGAGGGAGAGAAAATATCGTTACTTAAAGACAGTTAACGTTACTGAATATAATGGAAGGGACAATATCATTACTTAAAGACAGTTAACGTTACTGATTATAGAGGGAGAGAAAATATCATTACTTAAAGACAGTTAACGATACTGATTATAGAGGGAGAGAAAATATCATTACTTATATACAGTTAACGTTACTCATTATTGAGGGAGAGCAAATATCATTACTTAAAGACAGTTAACGTTACTGATTATAGAGGGAGAGAAAATATCGTTACTTAGAGACAGTTAACGTTACTGATTATAGAGGGAGAGAAAATATCATTACTTAAAGACAGTTAACGTTACTGATTATAGAGGGAGAGACAATATCATTACTTAAAGACAGTTAACGTTACTGGTTATAGAGGGAGATAAAATATCATTACTTAAAGACAGTTAACGTTACTGATTATAGAGGGAGAGAAAATATCATTACTTAAAGACAGTTAACGATACTGATTATAGAGGGAGAGAAAATATCATTACTTATATACAGTTAACGTTACTCATTATTGAGGGAGAGCAAATATCATTACTTAAAGACAGTTAACGATACTGATTATAGAGGTAGAGAAAATATCATTACTTAAATACAGTTAACGTTACTCATTATTGAGGGAAAGCAAATATCATTACTTAAAGACAGTTAACGTTACTCATTATTGAGGGAGAGCAAATATCATGACTTACATACAGTTGACTGTTTTGTTTATAGAGGAAGAGGAATTATAATGACTTGTTGAAGAAGACAAAAGTAATAATTTACTGATTGATTGTTACAGTTAAAAATGGACAATTAAAATTAACGAAAAGGTCACCTGAAGAATTAGTCGATGATGTAGTCGAATTTAAAGGAGCGGTTGTAGTTTCTGGAGGTAATGTAGTCGGGCTTGAAGATCCTACAACATATAACATATACAGTAGTCCCCTGTTGTACCGCCACCTTTTGTCCCGTGCCAATTTTGGCGTTATAACGGGGGTGGCGATACAACAGGTTTTCACTAAGACAGCCAAAACACATGTGCCTAAAACGTACATCTATTTGTAACAAACACTGTATATACATACACATATATTTATTTTGAAATGAATGGAAACACGTGATATATATCATTTGTAGCTCTTAAAAATTATAAGTTAATAAAAGAATGTACATTTGTACAATTCACCGACTGTAACACAATCCGGGATGCGGCGTGCGGACACGTATAGTCGTCACATGTTTTTAATGATTTTAGCATTTGAAGTCAATCAATCATTACGGGTTTTTTTTTACAGAGAAAGTGATTATGTCCGAATTCTACACTTTTCACATGGAGGAAAAGGTTTGTCCATGATAAAGGGAAATAACATATCAAAATCACTCATTGACAAATTCATTGATGCGTCAGATTTGACATAATGATTTTGTTCAGGGAAATAATGTAATCGATTGGAAAGGGAGATTACTCATTTTTGTTACTCAAATTAGACGGAGAAAAGTGTTGTAACCCATTGAAGAGCTACACTACGCAGTGACCCGTTGAAGTTGACATGATAAGAATATTTGTTAAATTGTGATAAATAGCGGTAATTTATGCAATAACTTGTTCTAAATTGGGTGAATTTTACATTCGTCAAACAAGCCATGAACTCGAAATAAACATGATTGTACACACAAAACCTAAAATTGACTCTTTGCAAAATTAACATGTTAATAAACATATTCATGAATGTGAAGAGGAAAACTTAATCAAAATATCAAAACCTAGTCTCCAAACGCCACAGTAACGTTTTGCGCAAGTTTGTCCACCAATCTCGTGACATTATGACGTCATGTTACTGTTTTAGTGTTATAAAATGCGATTATGACGTCACAATGTTGTCCTTTTGAATTAAACCTTCAGAGCCCTGACGAGTAAAAGCAGCTAGTTTTGAAGTCGATCATTAGGTCTTATTTTCTCTATACTAACCTAATTCACATTGATATCTGTTCTTTACCACAGAAAACATGTTTTTTTAATAAGAAGATTTTGTTTTGTAGTTTAAACATATTAGGCCTTTGTAAGCTAGAAGGTGTGTCAAATTGATTTATTTAAATATTTGGAATCACTCAATCCAAGCAAAACACAAAAAGTGACCAATAATGGCTCTAGGCCTGATGTCAAAGATCTTATTTGATATTTCATGTTGTGAGAAATTGAAAATACAATTATTTCAATAATGTTACAATACCCTGAGTATGGTGTAAGAACTTTTGTTACATCAGATATTTTGCAGAATTGTTTACCTCTTTATTTTGCAAAGTACCTAATACTACAATCTTAACAATTCCAAAACCATTATATAGTACTCTTTTTTATGAAATCAATTTCTTAGAAATTCCCCAATCATCATGCTTACATTTGATATTCGTTACGATTTTCACAATGAATTTATCAAAAACGAAATGTCATTTTCATGAAAATTGATTTGTTCTGCGGAACGATTTTTGAACTTTTAACAAATCTACCCGCCACATTGTCCTGTGGTTATTACCATGTTCACACATGCCCTCCATCATTGTGGTTATTACCTTGTTCACACATGCCCTCCACCAGTGTGATGTTGTCCAATGCAATAAAGCTCTGGAAGGTCGTAGCGCTAAATGTTAATCGAATTTTTGAAGTTAGGTATCCTGTATTCACTTCATAAACTTGCCAAACTGCCTGTTTCTTTTCTTTTTCTTTTATCTCCAATATCATCTTCTTATATTCATTTTCCTGATGCAGTTCAACTTGGAGTTTTGAATGGGAGAAAAAGTATGGGTGAAACCAAGCTAATGACAAACGCAGACAAAAATAATTGCCATGAACAGAGGGTCGATATCGAGGACTTGAAAGGCCTACGTTTCTAAGATATGTGTTAGGACATCCCATGTATAGGAAACTGCCAGATGCAGGATCTGTAAATAGAAAAAATATATTGATGATGTCATTTTTACCTACATCCTTATAAATGAATAATAAATCACGTATAGGTATGTAGTAGTGATATTGACATGGTGTTTCTAGAAACATCAGTTAAATACTAACTTTTTTACGTCACTTCAATTGTAATGTCACAATAAAATGCTCTCTGCCAAAAACAGTTTCTCTTCACGATTTGTTTATACCCTGTCTTTTTTAATTATAAAACGATGATAATTGTATATCTTATATAACAATCAAGGACTTTCATTTCAGTGAATATGGATTTTTTTGGACCTAAAAAGTCATACTGACCTCATATTGGTCTCAGTCGATATAACTTTCTGAGGTCCATGTAATTTTATATTAATCTTAACAAAAGCCTTTAATTGATAAATACAAATTAAGTTACTTTGAATATACCAGACAGGGAATGACTTCAGCCTTTATTATATTCAATGAGAGCGGTTAGAATATATGTTATTACTTTGAAATGGTCAGGGAACCTGTATGTTTGCTACATCATGAATACAGCATGCAAACTTTGAAAGCTGTGTACATTTTATCCAATTAATTAATATATAGGCCATATATTAATTAATTGGATAAAATGTACACAGCTTTCAAAGTTTCAAAGATCCACAATAGAAATACAAACAGATAGCTACACATCATCATTATCATCATTATTGACAGAAGACTACAGTATAAACCTAAATTCTACAGAATCACTTCAAAGAACTTGCTAGGACACCATCCTCTTTATCACATGATTACCTCAAGGTAACTGACAGGACCCCTTCCTCTTTATCAAAGATTATATCAAGCAAACTACTAGTACCCCTTCCTCCTTGTCACAGGATGACTTCAAGGAACTTGCTAGGAGCCCTTCCTCTTTATCACATGATTACCTCAAGTAAACTACTAGGACCCCGTCCTCTTTTTCACCAGATCACCTCAAGTAAACTGCTAGGATCATATTCTCTTTAATCACAGGATCACCTCAAGTAAACTGCTAGGCCAATATTCTCTTTATCACAGGATCACCTCAAGTAAACTGCTAGGACCCCTTCCTCTTTATCACATGATAACCTCAAGGAAACTGATAGGACCCCTTCCACTTTTTCATTGGATCACCTCAATGAAACTACTTGGACCCCGTCATCTTTTTCACCAGATCACCTCAAGTAAACTGCTAGAACCCCTTCCTCTTTATCACATGATTACCTCAAGGAAGATGACAGGACCCTTTCCTCTTTATCACATGATTACCTCAAGTAAACTGCTAGGATCATATTCTCTTTATCACAGGATCACCTCAAGTAAACTGCTAGGACCCCTTCCTCTTTATCACATGATAACCTCAAGGGAACTGATAGGACCCCTTCCACTTTTTCACAGGATCACCTCAATGAAACTACTTGGACCCCGTCCTCTTTTTCACCAGATCACCTCAAGTAAACTGCTAGAACCCCTTCCTCTTTATCACATGATTACCTCAAGGAAGATGACAGGACCCTTTCCTCTTTATCACATGATTACCTCAAGTAAACTGCTAGGACCCCTTCCTCTTTATCACATGATTACCTGAAGTAAACTGCTAGGACCCCTTCCTCTTTATCACATGATTACCTCACGAAAACTGATAGGACCCCTTCCACTTTTTCACAGGATCACCTCAATGAAACTACTAGGACCCCGTCCTCTTTTTCACCAGATCACATCAAGTAAACTGCTAGGATCCCTTCCTCTTTATCACATGATCACCTCAAGTAAACTGCTAGGGTCATATTCTCTTTATCACATGATTACCTCAAGTAAACTGCTAGGACCCTTTCCTTTTTCACCAGATCACCTCAAGTAAACTGCTAGGACCATATTCTCTTTATCACAGGATCACCACAAGTACACTGCTAGGACCATTTCCTCTTTATCACATGCATTAATGTCCTACCAGATCATATAAAACATACTACTCTCAATTTGTGTTGTAGACAGCATCAGCTATACATTAAACAATATATAAGAGTGAAGACGCCTTCAAGTTACAATAACAAAAGTCACACAAAGATGCAGAATAATTTGGAAAAGACTGGCTAATAGCATTTTGCCAACACAAATAAGATATTACTTCTACATCAAACCAATTCGCCAAAATAACATTCACTTTCAAGCTCCATGGCCACACTTTACAACAGTTACGGCCTAAATAGAAACCGGGTGTGTTTGACGTAGCACCTCAACGTCCCGATAAAAAAAAGTATTGATAATTTCTTCTGAAATATAAATTTAAAGAAGATCCTGGAGAATATATACTGTCCCCATTTACAAATGAAGATGTGTTAATTGTTTTATGTATTTCAATAAAAATATTATATATAAAAATTGTGACTGTGTTAAGGTGTAAACACACGCATTGCCGCTGTAGACCTATTCTACTGATTATAGTTGATTGAAGTTACTGTTTTACTTCCTCGACAAAACAAATGTAATGTTGGCCTAGCACTTGCACAGCTTAACAACCTTATATCGAACAAACTGAACAATCAAATCGACATATATGCAAATAAATGGTCAAGTTTTGTATAAAATAACATGCATACAAATCCAAGTCGGACCAGGATGTGTAAATTGATTTTCTATATGTGACCCTTACAACACAAACGAAATCAACCACATCTAAAAAAACAACCATACAGAGCTGTATGAAACATCAACAATAGATACTGAAACGCAAGTTAAATACACGGTATACTGGACAAACTTTAAACATGTAGACAACATCAAGTAATCCATATCATACGCCATGTTGCAAAAGTCACGGGAAGCATTTCCCACCTATCAGAACTCTAAACCAGACAGCCACACCCCTAACGTACTGACATTTACCAGACAACCGCACCCCTATACGTACTGACATTTACCAGACAACCACATCCCTATACGTACTGACATTTACCAGACAACACACGCCTATACGTACTGACATTCACCAGACAACCACACCCCTATACGTACTGACATTTACCAGACAACCACACCCCTATACGTACTGACATCTACCAGACAACCACACCCCTATACGTATTGACATTTACCACAAAACCACACTCCTATACGAACTGACATTTACCAGATAACCACATCCCTATACGTACTGACATTTACCAGACAGCACACCCCTATACGTACTGACATTCACCAGACAACCACACCCCTATACGTACTAACATTTACCAGACAACCACACCCCTATACGTACTAACATTTACCAGACCACCACACCCCTATAAGTACTGACATTTACCAGACAATAACACCCCTATACGTACTGACATTTACCAGACAACCACACCCCTATACGTACTAACATTTACCAGACAACCACACCCCTATAAGTACTGACATTTACCAGACAATCACACCCCTATACGTACTGACATTTATTTGTATCGTAAGGTGTGAAACTATACATTATAGTAATTGGTTCTTTATTCTTAACTTCCATTAGTTTCAATCAAAACTTATTTTGAACTAATTGAAATTGAAAAGTATGATAGTTTATAATACGTATTTTGCCGTAACTTGTTTTTATGTAAAAACATGAGATTATCAATGCTGAAACAGGGAGGAATATTATAATCTGTTCTTCCTTTTGGTGTAAGGCAGAAGAATCTCTAACATAAGGGTAATTTTTTAACTTGCCGCGTGCACGACTTAAAGAATACTCCCCCGAGGCTTCAGATTTTACTGTATTGCTTCTCAAAATGGGAATGATTACATTTCTCCCACGTAAATACAACTGGTAATTTGATGAAATGCTTACGTGGATTTCATAATATCAAACATGTAGTGTACATGAGCTGATAAAATCAAAATTTGGTGACACTCTTCTAAAAAAATTCTGGATCCGCCCATGGATCTGGTATTGGTTACGTGACGTCATACAATTGTTATGACAGGGGAATCCCCCAGTCGTAACCCTAGGTTAAGGCGGACATATCGTTAGCTGACAAGAGTGTGGGTATGTGTAATGGGGGAGAAATGAGTGTTTTACCGCAATCGAGAGTGATGCCCCAGTACGAAATGAGTGTTTTACCGCTATCCAGAGTGATGCCCCAGTACGATATGAGTGTTTTACCGCTATCCAGAGTGATGCCCAAGTACAAAATGAGTGTTTTACCGCTATCCAGAGTGATACCCCAGTACAAAATGAGTGTTTTACCGCTATCTAGAGTGATGCCCCAGTACGAGATGAGTGGTTTACCGCTATTCAGAGTGATGCCCCAGTATGCTATGAGTGTTTTACCGCTATTCAGAGTGATGCCCCAGTATGATATGAGTGTTTTACCGCTATCCAGAGTGATGCCCCAGTATGATATGAGTGTTTTACCGCTATCCAGAGTGATGCCCCAGTACGATAGTGAAGGCGTCCATTGCCAATGGTAACCGTTGTTTGTGTCGTTGTTGTAACCACACATATCATCATCAAAGCTACAAGTTACGTTAAGATCTGAAAATAAATAAAATGTATATTTAATAAAGAAATTCATAAATTATGTAGGTTGACAAATATAGACATAAATAGATTAATACAAACCATTTACAAAATTTGTAAATATGTATAACACGATATCCAACATGCATGTTGAGAATATACATCTTAATACCACTATTTAAATGCTTGCAAATATATTTCAGTAATTTTTCTTAGTCAATTGAAATTATATACCAAATAATACAAATATGTATGCATTTTCTCATAGTTTGTAAAAGCAAATCTTAACGATTGTAAGATATCATAATTTCAATCAACAGTCCAATGGGAAAATGAATAGAGGAAAAACGTTATGAGCGTCTAAATATGTTTGTATTGTTTACGACAGAAGAAATTGTCTGGTAGACTGTCTACTTCTGGAGACAAAAGTATTAAGTCTACGAGGATAAAACATCCTACCACAGCCGTACTCATCCTCGCCGTCGGGACAGTTGTTGTACGAGTTACATCGAAGGTTGTCAGGGATACACACGGAAGAGTTATGACACAGGAACTCGTTGTGGCCACACCCTGTAAACAAAACAGTAAACGGCGTAGTATGCTTCACACACCAATCTATACTATTAGTGAACTATGTAAATCTTCTCTCACCATTCTGTGATGGAATAGTATAGTAATACAGTTTCTTTGTGACGAAAACGTTCGTGCATCATTAATAGCAGATGAAAGAATATTATTGAATGGGCCTTATGATCCGATTCAACCGAAGTAAGATAATGATTTTTTTTTATCTTACACTTTTGTCACCTACGCTAGAGAGAAATAATTCTTAATTATTATCAAATACGCAAAGGAATAGGAGCGCAATTCAGATCATCCACTGTAGGGGGCGATAACTCTGGTCACCAGTTGTGAAGGGAGATAACTAAGGTCACATACTGCATAGGGAGGCAACTCAGGTCACCATCTGAAGAGTACTCTAACTTTGATAACCCAACTAAGCGGGAAATAACTAATGTCACATACCATAGATGGAGAAAAATAATGTCTCCCTATATACAGGGAGATACCTCAGATCAGTTATTGTTAACAAATCTGTCATGTTGCTGTAGGGGGATAATTTAGGTCACCAACTAGTACCGTAGACAAATAACTACCGTTACCTACCGTAGAGGGTTTGGAATGACTGTCTTTTGTGTTTGCTATTAGCAGCTATAGTTATATAAGGACGCTAAAATAACCCCACCGACCTGCGGCGAGCACCTGAAAACTACTCCAACCCTTGACCCAGTGGTGGAGGGCTAGTGATCCTAGACAGCCAGATGCCTTAACCACTCTCGGTTATCATGATCTGTATCTTAGAGGGAGGTACGTTAGTCGCTCCATATATAGGAAATTCATTCATGTCCTTGCTTTTAAAGGGAGATAATTCAGGCCACCCTTTGTATCTAGAGGAATGTAAACTCATGTTAATCAATGTTGAGGTTTATAACTCACCAACATTGTCACACGATTTGCCATGTATCACGCTCACATCGTCAAGGCACGTCATAAAAGATAACGTCAAAAAGTAATCTCCTGCCTCAAAAACAAGACTATAGTTTCCCGGAGGAATATCCAGTAATTGTCGATACCAGCCTTGCTCCTCTCCGCCATGGGAAATGCAATCACCGATCCGATGTATGCCACCATCACTGTATTTGATGCTTGCACGCAGGGGAATGTCATTTTTACCTAAGACGTAGAATGTAAGACAGCTGTGTTTGTCTACATTGACTTGGGGACTTTCCATGTACTGTAGAGTGAATCCATTCGTGTCCGTTGGGGCTACGCCATAGGAAAGTATCATACCAAACCCTACAAGCAGACAAAAATGCTCAGTAACTACACTGAAAACAGCAAGATCGAAAAGTTTAAAAAGAAATACGTATGTCTTCTGGCAATTCCTGAAAATAAACATGAAATTAAATATACAAAACCATGAAAAAAATAAGATCATAATTCAATAATACCAACTCATTTGAGAAACTATTTTTGCTTTTAGTATTTTTGCTTGAAAGATAGCGTCTATCATATGTAGCCATATTGACTATATAGGTCCTAAACATGAGGGAAATGTTACCAACTGCCTCTTTTTCTCGAGGATTTCCTTAAAATGCAACAATGAAATCGTCTCACATAAAAAAATATGAAAAAGGCACAAACATCACCGCTTAATTCGAAAAATGACCGGCCACAAACAGAAATATTTTAAATGAAAATCTGTAATTATTACAACCTCAGAAAAAAAATCGCCATGACGGTGTAAAAAAACCTTAAAAAACCCAGCAGATTATATAGAGTCTGTCCAATTCTCAGACAGAATATTTGTCGTTGTCACTGACTTGCCTGATTTAAACCAGGGACCTTGGTACATAATTGGGTATGAGATACAACTGTTGATACAGACGGACCTGAGTTAAAAAAAGTCTTTTCTAACATACTTTCTCGAGATATACCAGACTTTTTCTTACAGAATTACCTCTGCAGTTAGCGATAGCACTATTATTTGTGATATACGTACCTGAGCCATCTCCACTTGTGTGGTCACATACACTTGTTTGGGAAATTTCACTCATGAAAGTCCGGTATCCACACTTGTTCGGAGTTTCAAAGGAACAGTTGAAACTATCAGCTACCAACGAATCTGTTACAATACACATCAAAGTTTTGATATATTTTTTTTTTACATATTATCGATTTAAATCATATAATAAATATATAATACTTATCAATTAAGTGAGGCAATGTTTTTAAATAAGTAAAACGTTTGTTTTCTGTTACATGTCTGAAAAAATTAATTTTCATTTGTTTGATGTTTATATAAAAGAGTGATTCAATATTCAGCACTGCTTCCTCAAAAATGGCCAAAACTAGGACCGGGAGGGTAACCAAAAACAAACAACAGTTGTTGTTGTGGTCTAACAGAAAATGAAACCACAGACAGAAGCTGATATGTTGTTTTGGTCTAACAGAAAATTAAACCACAGACCGAAGCTGATATGTTGTTTTGGCCGTACAGAAAATGAAAACACAGAGAGACGCTGATATGTTGTTGTGGTCTAACAGAAAATGAAACCCCAGACAGAAGCTGATATGTTGTTGTGGTCTAACAGAAAATGAAACCCCAGACAGAAGCTGATATGTTGTTGTGGTCTAACAGAAAATGAAGCCACAGACAGAAGCGGATATGTTGTTTTGGTCTAACAGAAAATGAAGCCACAGACAGAAGCGGATATGTTGTTTTGGTCGAACAGAAAATGAAACAACAGACAGAAGCTAATATATTGTTTTGGTCTAACAGAAAATGAAACCACAGACAGAAGCTGATATGGTGTACATTAGTTTGATGAGAATATATTCGATAAAACGTATCATTTCGTTAACCATTAACATTCAATAATTGATTGAATATACACTTAAATATACAGTGAGTGTTATAATATATTACAATCGGTGTTTGTAAGCTCACCATTATCATTAACAATATCTGCAAAGAACCATTAACATAAAAGTGACAAATGCGAATTATTCCCTATATCTATTTGTTTTTCTTACACTTTTTATGTACATACCACATTGATACTCATCCATGCCGTTAGGACAGTGTTCTATACCGTCACACACGTGTTCCATAGCGATGCACATATCATCGCTACCACAGGAGAATAGATTATCGCTGCAAACTGGAAGCAAACAATACGACCACTTCTATATCGCCATACACGAATGTTTTCGTTTAAAATGAAAATAGTGTATTTATTTCACATTTCAAATTGCACCCAATGTTACACAATATACCTTTGCCTGTCTTTCTACGTTTCCTTTGAATGGATATTTATTCTTTTGACCTCTAGTAACACATATAAAACTTCGTTCTGTATGGACTTTGAATAAAAAAAACATTCAAACATCCCTCCATCATTTAATGAAATTTCTCAACCAAGTTGGCGATTAAATATCATTTCATTGGTCAACAACATAAGTTATTGGAATAATTCGGCCGGGTAAAAAGGTATGCTAGGTGCGAGAGGCATGGTATTTCAGTGGAGACAGCGCCATCGCAATGAAGCAAATGGTCCACCATACCGCCGCCAGAACATATACACACCCATATATTACACACAACCAATAAATGAACTTAATTGTAAATGGGACGCTTAGCATGACTAATCTAAACTAAATGTCAACTTTATTGCTATATATATTCAAAATGGCTTACCAACAGGCTGACAGCTGCCTTCCGTGACCCGTATGTTGTCTATTCCATACTCTGCTACATTGTCGGCAATGGCCTGAAACTGGAACTTGAATTTGTGTCCAGGAACATTGAACCGACGCTCTAACCAGTCGTTGGAGTGATATGTGATCTTCATAGCTTCCATTGGCATTGGGTCCTCGTATAAAAGATCAAACCAGTTAACCTTGATGTAGCTCGTGGTATTAGCTACAGAGAGTTTCATAAGGTACGTGAACGCCACGCAGGAAGAGGTGCTGGTTACCACAGTCGGAGATAACACCGAGCGATACTGGTACGTAGAAAATGTCGTATGGATAGAAAGATAATGTTCTGTAAAAAAACAAAATCAATCACGTCTTGATGAATCGATTTGAAAGGGTGTTGATCTTGGCATATACTTATACAACCTTATTGATTTTACTGCCATCTGTTTTTAAACGTCGTAAAGCAAAGGCGCTGTACTGGTAGATTAGCGCAATCCTACTTTAGCGCAATATTTAAAGTGCGAAAAACGCCAAAATACGACTTCAACAAAACATATGTACATTACGTTTAAGTATATTGTTTAACTAGAGAAAAACGTTTAAGAATTATTTGGTTGGCATATTTTTTATCAAATAGTAATAGTGAATTTTGGTACACCTATTACTGAATATTTTAACTCTTAACTGATTCGTTATGAGTTATGTCACGCTAACAGTTATACCTTTTCTAGTAATATAAAAGTATTCTCAGTTCTGATTATTTCCAGAGTCGTCTAAATGATGATTATTTTGCCTCTGATTTACATGGATACTGCAATGCATTTAATTTCATATGCTCTCTATATTTAAATTCGTATTACGCTTATCTTACGAACTATGCTAGGTCTTTGTGTGATATGAAGGTCAATGATTTTGATTATGTTCATTAGAGTGCCTTGGGATTATGTTGTCAAAACCCGCGTTCTCGATACGAGGACAAGACATTACTGGAATTGGACCTAGACTTACATGGCGAATGCCGTTAATGTTCACATGTCTGTGCATTGCTCATATTTAGTGATAGTTTTATCGATTTTGAGTTCAAAATATAGTGTTATTGACACTTTTGTATTCTCTTGACCACAGGGAACTGAATATTTGTTACAGCAATATTTGGACCTTAACTGAAGTGTCCAAAATCAAGCAAAACGTTTTAGGGGTTAAGATCAATAGTTGGTACACACGCCGCCACCTGCAATGGTTAACATCTAAAAGAAAATATACGTTTTGGGGTGTTTATATGGATATGTTGGTGTTGATGTTAATTTCGTGCTTTTCGCGAAGTCTAAATCATTTTGGGCATTTGATCATTTCGTATCTCAAATAAGATGTAACGGCATAATATAATATAAAGCTTTGAAGAAAATAATAATAAGAATAATATTTAAACATAACTGTTTGTTTTCAATTAATATATAAGCCCTAATGGCCTGATATACAAGTAAATATTATGAACGCAAAACACTCAAATGCTATTGTACCATTAAAGGTAATGTTTGGTTATTACAATAGGTAAGAAATTCCTATAAACGGCCAATTAAAACTAACATGCTGAACAGGGTAACGTAGTCTCAAGGTACGAGATACAAGAAACTTTATTTAAAGTTGCATACATGTAAACAAAGAACATTAGCTCTTGAGAGCTATTATTGCGACAAACATATTTAAAATAACATTAACATGTTACATCACAATTTAAGGGAGATAATTACATATTTGGGATTTATTTTAGGAAAATGGTGAAAAGACATGATTTAAAAAGAAAAATCCCAGGGTGGGGGTTTCTTGAGGCCTAAAAATCCCCTATGGATCCGACACTGATAAGCTTGACTATTTTATTGATTGGGGAGAAAATAGGTTTATAAATTTAATATCATTTCACGACAATTCTCACCTAAACATTAAATTAGTGCTTTCAAGTTTGCAATACATGACTCAATACTAGCATGTGCACTCACCTTGTGTCGGTCGGTATTCTTTTATATCCCATCCTTTGTCCATGGCATAGCCACATGATTCCTCAAAGGTACAGTTTGCTGACACCTCTGAAATGATGTCATACATTATTACAATACGTTAGAAAAGCTTATCAAATTGATAACTACGAATTATTTTCGATAATTTTAGCGAAAAAACAAGGCGTCCTACGAAAATCAAATGTACAAAATAATAGCATAGTTATGTTGATTTTAATTTGCTACAACTATCGCTAGAATGGCAGATGTTTCAACATTTCAACATTGACATCAAGGACGACAATGTCCTCATGCTGACCATGTGAAGAGACCTTGACTGAACATGCTGTATAGATAAAAGCAAAAGCGAAAGGTATACAAGTTGTGCCTATCATTGATAAAGTCACACTTCGATACCTGGTGATTCATTGTATCGTCAAATCAGAGAAAACATACACAGCAGGTCGATGTCATCCAGGCTAAACTAAATGCACTACATATACCATATATATACGTTATCTGATCGACAGATGGACAGAGTAGGATTAATAGGATAATAACACTTCAAATAATTCAATGTTAATTTTTAATTAACAGGATCAATCTTAAAATCATATCGTTATCTTCACCAAAATTAGGAATTAAATACCAGTATTAGAGAAATGATCAATAAAAAGACTAGATTAAAGTATTTCAGTCATTGACATGTTTCTATGCCAGGCTTGTATCACTCACCTTTACAATTGCTCTTGGCAAAATATGTTCAATCACTCAGTGCTTAATAGACACACCTTTATTTTGAAATTCTTTGACAAAAATGCCTAAAGGTTGTTAAATAAATTGAAGATTTTTTTATGGTAAATCTGACCATTTAACCTTATTGATAATTTTATTTTGGCCTGGTAATTTGATAACAGATTAAGATAACTGAAATTTTACCTGGGCATGGGGTGTCCGACAAACCGATATCTTTTACGCCGACATCTGATTCTGGACCTTGGCCTCTCTGTGTTGCAATCCAGAGTTTTTGTCCTTGGCTTTGATTCATGCTTGGGACCATGAAGCAGTATTCTTGGAAGTTGTCAATATAGAATAAATTTGAAATGACAGCCTCATAGGTGCCATATGTCAAATTTAAATATGTTGACTGGTTACTACGGAATCTGTACTTGAAATGTAGGTATTGACCGGATCCGTCAGACTGCAAGTTGACAGCGGCGGTATCCCAGGGGTGACCGTAAGATGAATCAGCTATCAATATGTATTCTGTAAGTGGAACAATAAGAGAAAAATGGTCAAATATGTATGGAAAATCTGAGAGAGAAAATCAATGCCAGCCGTTGATTAATACAGAAGATTTTGTTTATGTAATCACTGCTGCAGATCATCCGTACCATCTCACTTCAGTCGTGATGCGAGACAGAACTTACGTGAATGAAATAACTGATTTACAACGTATATTTGGGTTTTGTTTCCTCTTAATGTAATGCATGCACTAAACACTAAAGCAGCATTACAAGAAGTTTTGAAATATTTGAAATTGTCATTTTGAATGTTATTATGTAAAAGTATAAAATAACATGCAGAACTGCCTCTTCTTTGTGATTTCTCTCTAGGCAGTTGTTCGTAAATGACTCTGTGAGGAAGTTAAACCCCAAATAACCAAACAAATTTGCGAAAGATTAACAATAAGCATAAAGAGCATTTTATTTTTGTTTTAGCAATTAATTCAAAACGATATTTGAGTAATATAATTGACATTAGTGACTTGCATAGGAAGGTGAATGAATGTGATATATTTTATTATTATTAATATCACAGTATCTTTACTGTTTCAGAGGTGGAAAGCAATTGTTTGCTTCTGACAATCATTCGTTGATTTTTTTCCAAAATATCTTTTTTAACTTGTCCATAATACGCAAGTAAAATTAAACTTCCCTGAAATTAAAATCACTTTATATTTTACTTGAAAAGAATTGATGGACACCCCCTCCTGCTGACTCATAAATAAATTATGTAGCGTCCCTTAAGTATAACTGACCATCAATGTAACGTTCGAGCTGCCAACGGTAATCTGTTTCATCTGGACAGATGTCATTAGCGTCATAGCTAATACCACATGTGTGAGGCGCCTCCCAGTCGCAAGTCTCAAGACTCTCTACAATATTAAATCTTCTGTTTGACACAATTTAATCGGAAGAACATATCTTTCCCCACTGAAATATACATATAATTAGCTTAACACTGGAAAGAGAAGATGATACACCTGGCTAGGTAACGGGTACGTTATATATATTGAGCAAGGAGGTAAGTCTAGCAGTGTAGAGATATATGAAAGTTGTTCAATTTTCGGAGCAATCCAACCTCTCATCGAGACAAAGAAAAACTCAGAACACTTAAATTACATAAAACAAAAGAAAAATATATAATATTAAATACATATATATAATATTTAAAAACAATTAACTCCCCTGCTACGATAAATTCTGCCTGCGGCTATACTTTAATTTTGAGGTATATATTAGGTAACAACGATTCAAGCAAGAATCAATCAGTGTGAACATTATCAGCTGTACAGTTAGTATACAATAATGATTTATTTTTAAAAGGTATGCTTTAATAGCAACTTTTGGTATGGTTGGTACACTGAAATACTGTTATATTTAACACAGATTAGACTGAACTGTTCTAGAAACAGTGAGATAGAATGTTAATTTATAGGATGATTATAATTAAAGAGTTTTTTTCTTTAACATTTAAATTAAGATCAATTTGTCAGTTTCAATAGTTGAATATTACAGATATGTACTCACTCTGACAGCTTTCTCCTCCCATAACAATGTCATCCACATACACGAAAGCATCTGACTCCTGGTTATAATCTACACCTTCATGGATAAGCACAAAGCTGATGTTTTGATTCTGGGCTCTGCTGACGTCAACACAGTAACTCCTCCAGCTGTTAGACATATCAGACTTCTCTATAACTAACAGTGGCGTTAATATTGAGTTGGATCGGTTTGTATTGTGCATATGTAAAACACTCGTTAGATTTTGGTCCTTTAAAATATCGCTGCCGTTAATGAGGCCCACAGCAAAGCGAGAGCCTCCACGTTTAGTAACGTGAAATGTCACGCTGGAGAGATGTTGGGAGACGAAGAATGGCGAGAGGAGCCATGATGTAAATCCGTCGTAATACTCGCCTCTGCCGTTATACTGATGACTCGCAAATACATCTCCTGAAAATGCAAAAGTACACAACAATGATAGTGATGCAATGTAATAGAAATATATTAACACTATTTTGATATTATACTCTTATAAGCCAGAAGAATGCGATATCAGCATAACGGACGAAGACCCCGAGGTTTGATACCGTACTGGAGGAGGTATTATCTCACAATGGTAATAGCATGATCTTTGTTATCACCTCTGCCATACATAACAAACAAAAAATAAAGGTATTTACAATCTCCTGACACAACAGCTACTTTTAAGCAGTCAATAATTATTGATGTCTGATTAAGTTTTTCATTTCGTGTTTTGGCTCAGCATAAATCTATATTACTGCTGAAGTTTTCGCCGTATCTACTTCTTCGTCTTACAGTTTTTTCATTTTTCAGAACCCTATCCTACAGCGACCGTGTGCTGGAGATGTATGTCATCTTCATTGCTCAGAACCTATTTATTTGAACAATTTTTGATAATTTAGTGGTAATTCATCATTATCATCCACCATTTACATAGTCCCAAAATGAACTTGGTGCAAGCTTTTGTTTTGGCGAGATTGTAACTGTTACCGTTTGACATTTAGAGATAACGTTTAAGAAATTTCGGAAAATGATTTAATCACACTAACTGATCTGTGCATGCACGCTTATTTGGGTTTTAGAAGAGATTTCTCCGAGGTTTGAAGTACGCATCTATGGGATTGCATTGAAGAGGTTTTACATTAGCACCAATTATTCATTTAAAAGTCTCATTCATATATCCTTGGACACTGGTTCCTTAATTCAGTCGTGGCTTTTAAGAGATTAAAGAGATTTAGCGGTTGAATTCTATAATCATTTTATAAACAACATTTAGTGCCATAACTAGCTAGAATAAGCCATTGTAAAGCGCTCTACTGTACATAAATATATGATTAATACAATCAATACAATTAGCAAATATATCAGTATTAATCAGTATTTTTTGAAGAATTATCAGGAGCCGTCTCATGCAATCACTACTAGTCCTATGCCACCTGGCTAATATGTCCCTTCGTGTGTATGCCTGTGTTTGTGCTGGAAATGTATTGTATTGTGTTTGTAGTGGGACCGTGCTTACGACGGTATCATTAATTGTGCCACCTCACGTGAATGCAACAGCACAGATACTGCAACATCCACCCTGACCATTTTAAACTCCACCTGGGTTGATTTGCCAAAGGACCCTTGCGCTCTGGGTAGACCAATTTGTGTTAAATTACCTTTCGACGACATCGATGTGGTGTCTTGTATCTTTCTCCACTCCATCATTGCCATATTTGGGTCGAACAAGGAGAGGTACCCACAATCCCCTGGCTCATTAAAGGTACAGCTTCCAGGACCTAATACAAATTACAAGGCCAATAAGGCTTGATTACTCAACTTGTATTAAGTTTTAAGATAGATTGATGTAAACCGCAAATTTCAAAAAGTGTTGGGTCAGGATTACTCATTGCAATGTTCCTTGACCTCAACACAATGGCCTGGCCCGGCCACACAATAGTTGCATTCAAGTCAATTTTAAGGGTAGGTTACTATTTTAACAAAAAGAGATCAATGGAATTCTCTAGACATAATGTCAATGAAATTCTTTAGTCGTTTGCTTGTAAAATAAGGAACCCTAAGGGAACTTCTGTACTTCATTTAGTTTTTGAACTTTACTGTAGTGAAATTTTAAACTTTACTGCAATGAAATTTTCTACTTGGCGCAAGTGAAATGCTTTACTTATATAAACTTTTGTAATTCAAATCCGGAGTAATTGTAGAACCTAGATATACAAGTTAGGAACAGTTAGGAAAAGTACACATGTATTAGTATATATAATTGACTTACCTGTAAATATACTCTACATGTATACCTTACCTGGACAACTGCCCGACTCTACTGCCACATCCTTCACTGCAATATGGCTGTCATTGTCAAGCCCTTGGGTAGCTGTGAAGCTCAGCGAGACCGTAACACTAGCTGGTAGGTCCATGCACTTGTATATCCATTTACCTTCTATATTTGATACAGTATCGAGTAAAGTATCGTTAGCTTTGACGGTCATTGTATTACGGCCTGCACTGTTGAAGAGGAATGTTAGTTTGCTGGCCATATTGGTTTCAAACGTCGGGGAAACGAGAATTGCCATACCACCTTCAGTGGCATTGCCACTTTCGTCGTAGTAAACCATGTAGTTTCCATCTGGTTAAACAAAAAGACAAGTTGAAACAAATCTTCGCATATTGTATGCAAATAAGTAAATAAAGGTTTTGTAATTAGAGACATATTTGTTCGTGTAACGTTACAACGCAAGTCAACTATATATGCCATATTTACATGTCTCTTTAGTGAAACTATGGACATAATATTTACGACACCTATCTGTTATATACATATAATCTGCAATACGTGTCTCTAACTTCACATATTGTCTATATGTATCTAAATTGACAAATTGCCTACATGTCTCTTAATTGACATATTGTTTGCAAAAAAAAATTCTTCTGATGTTAAGTCATATTCCATAAACGTATTTAGCAATAAAATAATATTGAAAAATTGCCTTCATGTCTCTTACTTTATAAATTGTTTGCAACACATGTATTTAAAGTGACGTATTGTCTGGTAATACATATCACTTACTGAAAATATTGTCTGGTAATACATATCACTTACTGGAAATATTGTCTGGTAATACATATCACTTACTAAAAATATTGTCTGGTAATACATATCACTTACTAGAAATATTGTCTGGTAAAACATATCACTTCCTGGAAATATTGTCTGGTAATACATATCACTTACTAAAAATATTGTCTGGTAATACATATCACTTACTAGAAGTATTGTCTGGTAATACATATCACTTACTGGAAAAATTGTCTGGTAATACATATCACTTACTGAAAATATTGTCTGGTAATACATATCATTTACTGGAAATATTGTCTGGTAATACATATCACTTACTAGAAGTATTGTCTGGTAATACATATCACTTACTGGAAATAGTGTCTGGTAATAAATATCACTTACTGGAAATAGTGTCTGGTAATACATATCACTTACTGAAAATATTGTCTGGTAATACATATCATTTACTGGAAATATTGTCTGGTAATACATATCACTTACTAGAAGTATTGTCTGGTAATACATATCATTACTAGAAATATTGTCTGGTAATACATATCACTTACTAAAAATATTGTCTGGTAATACATATCACTTACTAGAAGTATTGTCTGGTAATACATATCACTTACTGGAAATATTGTCTGGTAATGCATATCACTTACTGAAAATATTATCTGGTAATACATATCACTTACTAGAAATATTTTCTGGTAATACATATCACTTACTGGAAATATTATCTGGTAATACATATCTCGTACTGGAAATATTGTCTGGTAATACATATCACTTACTAGAAGTATTGTCTGGTAATACATATCACTTACTGGAAATATTATCTGGTAATACATATCTCGTACTGGAAATATTGTCTGGTAATACATATCACTTACTGGAAATATTATCTGGTAATACATATCTCGTACTGGAAATATTGTCTGGTAATACATATCACTTACTAAAAATATTGTCTGGTAATACATATCACTTACTAGAAATATTGTCTGGTAATACGTATCATTACTAGAAATATTGTCTGGTAATACATATCACTTACTAGAAATATTGTCTGGTAATACGTATCATTACTAGAAATATTGTCTGGTAATACATATCACTTACTAGAAATATTGTCTGGTAATACATATCACTTACTAGAAATATTGTCTGGTAATACGTATCATTACTAGAAATATTGTCTGGTAATACATATCACTTACTAGAAATATTGTCTGGTAATACATATCATTACTAGAAATATTGTCTGGTAATACATATCACTTACTAGAAATATTGTCTGGTAAAACATATCACTTTCTGGAAATATTGTCTGGTAATACATATCACTTACTAGAAATAGTTTCTGGTAATACATATCACTTACTGGAAATATTAGCTACATGTCTCTAACTTAACATAGAATCTGCAAAAAAACCTTTAATTTAACATATTGTCTTAAATACATATATCTATTTTCACCTATTGTCTACACGTCTCTAACCTGGCGTATTGTCAACAACACATATTCCATACACTATTTTTCTATGAAATTCTATCGAAAATTTAGTTTTAAGACCAGAAATAAAACTAATATACTCTCGACATATTTCCTTATGTCAACGTTACTGTACCATTTAACTGTACCATACATGTCCCAGAAATACAAACATGGTAGTATTTATATATAGCAGAGTGACCACGAATGTGTTCTGTTATAAAAAAGCTATGATTTTCTTTTTCAATTTGTTTTTTCGTCATTTGTATTTTTTCTTTTACTTCGGTCATAATTTCCACTAAATGTTAATTGCAAGAACTCAATGGTCGACTTTCCAAGTAGGAAACAGGAAAGCTAGCTCTTTATTTAAGGGATTTAAAATTATACTAATAAGTAGTTTTTAGAAAGATGTCACACTGTACCATCAGAAGAAGGCAGTTGTACTCCAGGTCTTGTTTGTGTTTTGTTCACATCTTCACTGTGTAGCCAGTCCTGTTGTCCTTTGACAACTGCAGTGTTGAATCCACACATGTCTCTGCTGTTCTCGACACCAAACATGCAGCTGATCACGGGTCCATCGGTCGGCGCCACGGTAGGCGCCATGGGAGGCAGGGAACACGAATGCCATTCGTCCGCTGCAGACAAGGAGATGTCAAAATCTTACAGCTCGCAATCAATTTACGTATCAAAAAGGATCTCGAACGTCTTAACCAAAACAAATTAATGAAATGACCTTGAATGAGTGAAACAAGTGTGCGTTTCTTTTTAATATTATTTACGTTTCCTTGTCGAATGAAAAAATAATGTTACACTATTAAGAGGGTAAAATGACATATTTTTACCATTAACTGTTTTGTGATATGACGCCCTCGTTATTTGGTTGCTATAATATTGTGTATCTATGATGAGTTAATTAGATAGGAATAATTGCCAAGCCAATGAATTTACTGAGTTAATTTAATTCATAAAATATTCCAAGTTATATCTCTACATTCAACAGAATATGTCTCTTTTGAAATCAATATCAATAAAGTCTCGGAAGAAAGGAGAATTGACATAGTGTGTAAGTAAGGAAAGTAGGATTTCTGAAAGTGTATACATCTTAACAAGAAATTACGTCCTGAGGGCAAAATAGAATTAAACTGTTGCACGGGCAAGAGATAGCGGGAATTCAAAGGGAGTACTGCCAAAGAAAATCAGTGTTAAAATGTATTGGGAACAAGAGGAAATGATACTTTCAAAACTGTGTCCATCTGTAAGTGGTTACTTTATTAAGTTACATACCACACTCCCGAGACACCAAATACATATCATCAATTGCTACATCGCCAGCATAAATGAACGGCTTGGAGTTTGTCGTCTCAAAGAAAACCTATAACAATATAAGTGTATAGATAAGTGTGCCATTGACACTATACATTTTTGATAATGAACATTTAGATGTAGAAACACAAGAACACACATGTTACTCACGTACGCAAACCAGTAAACACGTATATATATAATGTACATGTTTTCTACTTTAATATTACCTGGTTACTGTAAGTAACCAGTACGTATACATGTACTGACTCAACAAAACATCTACTAGTATATAACAATTTTGAGTTAGTGAAACTGATTCTTAAATTGTTTACAACTAAGGTTGTTTTACGAGCCGCAAAGAACAATGAGGAGATATATATGTATATATACGTATCTTATGATGTTTGCATGCCGACAATTGTTAAATCGTAATAATATTTATAAAGACATGATCTTGACAATAATGAAATCTATCTTTCACAGACACAAGTCCATTGGTAGCTTAAAGCATTCATATGATGTTACATACATAATATTTTGCATCATATCAGAAAATATCTGGCAAATGTCTTATCAAGAACGAGAACGATAGGCTTAACCTCAAGTTCCGTTGTTTTTTCCCCAGAAAAAACAACACATTGTTTTAAAAAGTGAATATTAAAAAACAAAATAGTGTATGTTAATTATTTTTCCATAGCGAAAAGTTAAACATTTTGTCTTAACCAAAAACAGTGATACTGTAAAAAGATCAATAACAATATTGTGGTGGCGGCCCGAAAGTATGTTCAGAAAAACTTTTGCAGAAATCACACAACTATATTTTTGGCTAGCGTATGTTTTTTTGTTTAATATAATAACACCAAAATCAGGATAATATTTTACTCTTCACCTTTGAATAACTCAAACAAAAGTGAAAAAAGAAGGACATGGAGACCTTTATAAGCAAGATATAATGTTCAGAGGAAAACTAATACATGTTATGCTATGTTACACGTTGCTGTTTTAACATTTAACAATAAAGAAAATTACGGTAAATTCGCACTTAAGGAATGCGAGCTTGGCGAATAATCACTAACCCTTATCATATAGCAGGTAATTGAATTCATCAAATTTTAGAATTAAAAACAACACTTCTGTTTGTTAACTCACTTACATCATATTCAAAACGATTCATTTCGTTATTGTCCTGTAGTTAGAAACTAACCACACACTTAGCAAAGGTAATGGTAAAATCAAGAGTAGTTCCAAACAAACACCATAAAGCTTACACTTAACAGTTATTTACGAGAGAGAAAGAAAAGTCCCATTTGGGAAGATTGTTAGATATTGCCGTCATATTTCATTGGAGGTAGTTTCAGGACTATTTTTTTCACCTGGAAGTCCATGGTATGGTTGAGTGTCATTTTGAGGAAGTGCCAACGTCGACCCTGGTCCCCTTTAACCTCCATGACGGTATTACCGAACGTGTCATATACATGGAGTTTACCTATCTCATGGCCGTACATATAGTAGTAGAAGGACAAACAAACTGGCGCCCCTAAAATGAAAAAAAAGTCATTTGCCGAAAAAACCGATTTAAGTAATAATAATATTTTATTTAAATAGTGTCAAACATCACTTCACAAATAAGTGTTCAATGTTAAAATACAATTTCAAGAATTATTATCTGGTCAGATTGGCCTACGAGACACTATTACCAAATCAATTCACATTTCAAATACAGATGACTTAATAAAGTAGTATTTCTATGCATGCATGTCATACACACATACAAACACATACACTTAAAAACATATATACGCATGCACAAACAATTGTTCCTACCGGCACTCACATGTCTGAATATATATATATTTGCATACCCCTAAAACACACTTTGCTTTTTATCTATGGTTTCAGACATCACATACCACATTGATCCAATTTTCTTATTATATACAATTTTTGAATCCTGAAAGTGTTTGGGCCCTGAGTTCAGTACCCTGGCAAAAAATGTCATCATTCAAGAATAATTAATTAACTTATTTATAACAAAGATTTTTGAAATTGGGAAAGATGGCAGTTGACATTTCCATAAAAGTTCATTTTAACATCAGTGGATCATGGTCATTTTACACATGACTTGTCAGATATTCAGTAATATTCATCTCTCTTCATCATTACATTTGGTGGACATTTAAATTAATAGCGTGTTTAATATCATGTGCTATATAAGCCATACTTTACCTCCCCTAATCATGGGTGTTTGTAAGATGGAAGGGATGTTGATGAAATTATTGTCTGAGTCATACAGCAGGTACCACTTCCCTACCATGGCAGTCTGTGGGCCACTGTACATATTGGGATTAGTATCAGCCTACAAACATAAAGTAGTTTGGTAGTTTAATGCTGTCATTCGATATAAAGTACTGCAGAAACGTCTACATGGAATTTTAATAGCAAAGGCATTTTTTTGTGTTTTACATCCTTTTAACAGCTGTGGTCATATATGGACGTGTCAGGTTTTGGTAGTATAGGAAAACCAAGTGCCAGGAAAAACCCACCGACCGGCGACCAGTAACTGGTTACTGCCTCACGTTGGTTTCGAACCTGCGATCCAGTGATGGAGGGATAGTGATTATAAGACGGTCCGATGGCTTAACTATTCAGTCATGTTGGCCACTCTTATAGAAGAAACATTTTGAGGAAAATTATCAAAAGATTTATTGAGTTTCTCAAATATCAACATATTATAAGTCCCACTGAAATTGACTATGTCTCCATGCAGCTGTCGCAAAAATAGTAGTAGAATTATTGATAACTGTTCCATTGTATCCCAATATCCTTTACACGTAATATTACTTGGATTTGACTTAGATTTATAAAGCGGGTGCTGTTGGTGAAACAAAATACGTTTTGCCTTCCGAAACACCTTGTCTTATTATCCTTGTACATTTCCAAGGGTCTCCCATGAAAATGATTGCTCTGTTCAATTTTGATCCACTTTTATCGATCGGGTTCAATTATGGTTTAGTTAACGCTTCTTAAATCTTTTGTATTTGTTTTGCAGTAGAAAAAATGTCAAATTATTCAATGCGAAATAAGTGCTTTTAGATGTTTAAATTTCCTATCTATCTCTAACTGTTATCATTTTGTATTGAAAACTTTTCAATAAAATATTACAGGTTTTGAAAATCAAATTGATGTTTTATTGATTTTCAGGGAAGTTCTTACCATTGATGCATGCCAGTGTCCCTCTCCGTTGCTTGTCAGATCACAAATGTCACCCAGTTCGAACGTACACTTTAGCATTGGGTCTCTGTTATCTAAATCGGAGAATATAAGAACGATAATAAGAAGCTCATCTGGAGAATTTCTATGTACAGACACATATGTACCTTATGAATGATAAATGTGATTTTCTTTACACCAAGTTACTTTCTAATCACTTAAATCATATATAATAATATATGCGGTCATATGAACATTTACCTTAAATTGAAAAAATAATTTGATTTAAAGTAAATTCCCATTGAAAATAATTACATTCTTCATATATTTGGATTAATAGGATCGTCATCAAGAACAAAATTCTTCCTACCACTTAAATGAGTTGACAATAAATCTTGTCACCAGACCAACCGTGAAACGGGATTTACAATGTTCATAATATGGACCTGTCTTAAAGTAGCATTACCCTGTTGCGTTGATGTATCACAGTATGAACAAGTATCTCAACTCTCTTTTCATCATTGTAATACAGCACTGAATACTCTTTAATGGGTACAATACAAGATGGTATATGTTTAACCCTTACACTCTATTTAGCTTATGGAATCATTAATGACCTATTCAATAACTATTTAGTTTTAACGAATTCAAATTCATTGGTATTTGATGAATCCACGTCATGGTCAGTACACCTGATATTGTCGTTTTAATTGCATCTTACCTCTTCTCGCGTTTAGCACAGGTGTGCCTGTTATCAGAGACGAATATACCGGAACTATTCGCGTATTTTGCGCACTCGTGTAAATTGCGCAGGTACTTTTTGGGTGACAAATTATGAAAACAAAACCTTTCTTTAACAATTTTCAAGATGGACTGTATTATATTATGTCTTATTATCATTAATAAACTGTGACAAATATATATAAAAAAACACATCTAATAGGTGATTTTACCACATGCCACTGCGGCTGTGAACACTGCCCCGTCAGAAGGGTTACAATGCGGGGTGACTCCCCACACGTTATGGTCACAGTCAGAGAGGGAGCTCTCATTGCCGAAACACGACACTGCCCCGAGCCATGTCGGCATGTCGCCGTGTGATGCCATGTCCAAGTACGCAACTGCGTTGGCTGAACTGTAAAGGTAAATAGTTCTACATCATCAAACATTGGCTGTACTGTAAAGGTAACTAGTTCTACAATATCAAGCTGTTGCTGAACTGTAAATAATTCCACATCATCATACATTGAATGCATACATAATAAGATACAAAATATTTCTAAAAATATTATTATCAATTTTCCTTACACACGAACAAAGAAACATTTTACACACATACATAACAATTAGTTAGACACGAACAGTGAAACATTTTACACACATACATAAGTAGTTAGACACGACCAAAGAAACATTTTACACACTTACTTAACAATTAGTTAGACACGAACAGTGAAACATTTTACACACATACAGAACAATTAGTTAGACACGAACAGAGAAATATTTTACACACATACAAAACAAG